CTTATGATATTTAATATAGAGATATAACAATGGTTTGTATGTCGTGTTACTGGGGTAGATACCATCATATTCTTAGGCTGTAATAACCTTCTCATTACATCTAGTACCGTTGTTTTTCTCACACTTGCCACCTGATAAACAATGAAATATGACAAACATTTAAACATGATAGACAATGAAAAATTAAATCATGAAAATTGGTACATGATAAACATTGGAAAATGAAATCATGACTATTGGCACATTTCATCATACCTATTAGAACATGTCATAAACATAGGAGCAAGATAAACATTAGAATAGGGTATAAATTAATATTAAAACATGAAAAACATTGAAAAACATTGAAACACGATAAAACACTGAAATCTGATAAACATTAAAATAGATGTTTGTTAAACTGGCATGAGTGAAGGAATGGCAGGACTATCAAGTGCTTATGGTTTGAAATCCTAAGAATTCATAATCTTATACATCTTATTTCTACCTCTATTCTGACAGATATTTTCTTGCACATAAATTCAACTATTAACCATGTTGTAAAATATTAAAAGTCTCAGAGTTGAAACTCCTTATTACAAACATGAAATCCTTACATGAAATACAAATAAAGACTTGATACTTTTTTTAAACCACAAAACCTAACTCCCACTTTAAGACTTGACAAGAATAAAGTGTAATTACATTTCAAACATTTTGTATATATCTTTTTTTTAAACAGTAAAAAGTTATCAACATTTAATGATGATAATTAAAGACTAGAAATGTGTCATCATGCCACGGATGCCCCCGCATGCAGCCAAAATTTCAGATGTTATTATATTTAGTTCCAAATTTGTTTGCACAAATTATTGTTTTCATTTTAAGTTCAAAGCCCTTAAAACTTTTCAATGTTAACACAAACCATTTTCATACAATGTTCAAGGCACTGAAATTATTCAGTCTTATCCTTTTGAAAATAGCATATTTCATATTTGTAGCCAAAATACAAAAAGTATGAGTGCTGAAACTGAAAGTTCAAAATTTTTTCCAATATTCAAGAAAGATTAGTTTGTCCAAAATCATTGAACCACGACCAAATTCAAACTTAAACTGCCTATTCCTAAGATGTATCTATATTATTTTCAAAGTGAAAGGGACAAAACCCTGCCAAAAAATCATCGAACCATGACCTAATTCCAACTTGACCTGCCCATTCCTTTGACATATCCATATGTCAAATTTGAGTTGAATATTTAACACTGTTGGGTAGATAATGAACAGAAACTGTAAATTTCATATTTTTTTCAAAGTGAAAAGGGCATTACTCTGCCAAAAATTATTGAACCATGACCAAATTCGAACTTGACCTTGGCATTCCAAAAAAATATCCATATGTCAAATTTGAGTTGAATGTGTTGTACTGTTGGGGAGATAATAAACAGAAACTGAAAATTTCATATTATTTTCAAAGTAAAAGGAGCATAACTCTGCCAAAAATCATCGAACCATGACCAAATTCAAACTTGACCTGTATTTTCTCATGACATATCCATATGTCAAATTTGAGTTGAATGTGTTGTACCGTTGGGGAGATAATGAACGGAAACTGAAAATTTCATATTATTTTCAAAGTAAAAGGGGCATAACTCTGCCAAAAATCATCGAATCATGACCAAATTCAAACTTGACCCGTATTTTCTCATGACATATCCATATGTCAAATTTGAGTTGAATGTGTTGTACAGTTGGGGAGATAATGAATGGAAACTGAAAATTTCATATTATTTTCAAAGTAAAAGGGGCATAACTCTGCCAAAAATCGTTGAACCATGACCAAATTCGAACTTGACCTGTATTTTCTCATGACATATCCATATGTCAAATTTGAGTTGAATGTGTTGTACCGTTGGGGAGATAATGAACGGAAACTGAAAATTTCATATTATTTTCAAAGTAAAAGGGGCATAACTCTGCCAAAAATCGTTGAACCATGACCAAATTCGAACTTGACCTGTATTTTCTAATGACATATCCATATGTCAAATTTGAGTTGAATATGTGCAACCGTTACTAAGATAATGAATGGAAACTGATGATGACGGAATGACAGAATGACGGAAGGACGGAATGACGGAAGGACGGAATGACGGAAGGACGGAACAGGGAAACACTATATGCCCCGGCCATTACATGGCGGGGGCATAATTACCTGAGCATCTGTAGTAAGTGGAGTGTAACCTGTCATCAGGAAGTGTAATCTTGGTGTGGGTATAAGAGACGCAATTAAACCAATCAGATCATTGTTCATGTAACCAGGGTAACGAAGTGTTGTCGTCGATGTTGACATTACAGTTGATACCTGAAATATAACAAATGTTCAAAACATCTTGTAATATTTTTCACTATTTCAAAACATCTTGTGATATTTTTCACTATTTCAAAACATCTTGTGATATTTTTCACTATTTCAAAACATCTTGTGATATTTTTCACTATTTCAAAACATCTTGTGATATTTTTCACTCTTTCAAAACATCTTGTGATATTTTTCACTATTTCAAAACATCTTGTGATATTTTTCACTCTTTCAAAACATCTTGTGATATTTTTCACTCTTTCAAAACATCTTGTGATATTTTTCACTATTTCAAAACATCTTGTGATATTTTTTTACTATTTCAAAACATCTTGTGATATTTTTTTACAATTTCAAAACATCTTGTGATATTTTTCACTCTTTCAAAACATCTTGTGATATTTTTCACTCTTTCAAAACATCTTGTGATATTTTTCACTAAATACTATCTAAGTTAATACAATGTTTTCCTGAAAGTGCAATGAAAAAAAAAATGCTTTTACTTTGCTTAAAATAATATTAAAGCCTGTTTAATTCACTTCTAAGAGGAGATAAATTATTTAGTCATTTAAGTATTGCTAGATATACTCAGGTTTCTAATTAGGTGTGACAATTTAAGTCAGTCTAGCTGGTAATCCCTTAATGCTAAAACTGCTTTAGTATACCTACATCCACAGTGAAAACGTTAAAAAAAAATACTTTGTTAAATCTGAAATCAGAGCCTTAACAAGAGGGCCATGATGGCCCTGAGGTCGCTCACCTGTATATAGCCCCCCCCCCCCCCCATCCGGCCCAATTTTTACCCAAGGGCTTTTATTTGTTTATTTGAACAGACTTGGTAGACACCCATAAGAAGATGTTTCATGCAAAACATCTAAGTTCTAGCTCATTGGGTTTTTTAAAAGAAGATTTTTTAAGTTTTTACTATACACATAGAGTAAAAAACAATGACACCCCTCGGGCAGGGCCAGTTTTGACCCCTGGACTTTTATTTGAACAAACTTTGTAGATATTTACTTAAAGATGTTTCATGCTTAATATCTAAACTCTAGTTATTTGGGTTTTTTCAAAGAAGATTTTTAAGTTTTTGCTATGTATATAAGGAAAATCAATGACCCCCGGGGCGGGGCCAGTTTTGACCCCAGGGCTTTTATTTGAACATACTTGGTAGACACCCATTAGAACATGTCTCATGCTAAATATCTTAGCTCTAGCTCTTTGGGTTCTTTAAAAGAAGATTTTATAAGTTTTTACTATATGCATATAAGGAAAATCAATGACCCCTGGGGAGGGGCCAATTTGGACCCCAGGGGTTTTATTTGAACAAACTTGGTAGACATTCACTAGAAGATGTTTCATGCCAAATATCTAAGCTCTAGCTCTTACAGTTCTTTAAAAGAAGATTTTTTAAGTTTTTACTATATGCATATAGGGAAAATCAATGACCCCCTGGGGTGGGGCCAATTTTGACCCCAGGGCTTTTATTTGAACAAACTTGGTAGACATTTACTAGAAGATGTTTTATGCCAAATATCTAAGCTCTAGCTCTTACGGTTCTTTAAAAGAAGATTTTTTAAGTTTAAACTATATGCATATAGGGAAAATCAATTACCCCCCGGGGCGGGGCCAATTTTGACCCCAGGGCTTTTATTTGAACAAACTTGGTAGACATTCACTAGAAGATGTTTCATGCCAAATATCTAAGCTCTAGCTCTTTGGGTTCTTTAAAAGAAGATTTTTTAAGTTTTTACTTTATGCATATAGGGAAAATCAATGACCCCCTGGGGCGGGGCCAATTTTGACCCCAGGGCTTTTATTTGAACAAACTTGGTAGACATTCACTAGAAGATGTTTCATGCCAAATATCTAAGCTCTAGCTCTTACAGTTCTTTAAAGGAAGATTTTTTAAGTGTTTACTATATGCATATAGGGAAAATCAATGACCCCCTGGGGCGGGGCCAATTTTGACCCCAGGGCTTTTATTTGAACAAACTTGGTAGACACTCACTAGAAGATGTTTCATGCCAAATATCTTAGCTCTAGCTCTTACAGTTCTTTAAAAGAAGATTTTTTAAGTTTTTACTATATGCATATAGGGAAAATCAATGACCCCCCGGGGGCGGGGCCAATTTTGACCCCAGGGCTTTTATTTGAACAAACTTGGTAGACACTCATTAGAAGATGTTTCATGCCAAATATCTAAGCTCTAGCTCTTAGGGTTGTTTAAAAGAAGATATTTAAAGATTTTTCTTTCGGTTGCCATGGCAACCAGAGTTCTGCATGGAATTAAATTCTTTGAACAATTTTTAAAGGTGACCACCAAAGGAACATTCCTGTGAAGTTTGGATGAAATTGGCTCAGTGGTTTATGAGGAGATGTCATTTAAAGCAAAAGTTTACGGACGGACGACGGACGGACGGACGCCGGACGAAAAGCGATCACAAAAGCTCACCCTGTCACTTTGTGACAGGTGAGCTAAAAATACTAAAATATCTTCAGGGTTTAGGTTAGGTTTATTATCCCATACTTACGAGTTGATTAATTTGTTCGAAAGAAGGAGCATCTATATGTAATCTTTCAGCTGCTATTCTGTTCAATGCTGTGTTGTCTAAAACCACCTGAAATAATGTCTTTCTTGTTAATTTGTTTTGTTAACTATCAGTCAATGTAATTATTTTTCAATCCTATACAATATTTACATATAAACTTAACCTTTAACTGCATGATAGTCTAAGCATTAACAGAGAGCTGGCCTAGTGATTGAAGATCTGATGCTCAACCCATGATCACAAGTTAGAGCGCTACAAGGGTCACATTAATTATTCAAAGTGAGTTCAAGGATGGAGACTTGAGAGAGATGCATATTTGTTCCCAAATCAAGTTGAAAGAAAAATGTAAAATATTAAAATGTAAAACTGAATACTGAACTAACTATTAATGAGATTGATCATCAATATAGGAATCCAAACAAATCTAATTATGAAATATCATTGTACACATTATGATATAACAACTTTGTCCCGGAAAACTAAAACCTATCAGTATTTTTCCATAGGTAAATGAAACTTACGACACAATCTGCATTCTGGGTGAGACGTTTCAGGGTTAATATAGAGTTATATGGCTGCACCACAACATCTGACATCTCATCAAGGTTAGGAAACACAGAGTATGTCTGAATTAATTTCTTTGGAAACCTGTAATTTATATTTACTGAATAATTAAACATCAAAAGAAATGGATTATAATACAGAATTTTGATCAAGGACTTTTATTAGACTTAAGTAAATTTTAATTGGCTAGGATTACATAAAGACACTCAAAGTGTGATATTTTTTTACAAAAGCCCTTAAATTTGTGTAACAGACTTTTCCTACTTTTAACATAGCTAGCTCTAATCCTAGTCATTACAATAATGCATATCAATTAACGCAAAACATTTATGTTAACAAGCAATTATCATAGTATTGCAAGCAATCCATAAGTCCCCTACCGGTAAGAGCCCAAGCAACATTCTGAAGGGCCATTGGCCATTCACTTATGTTCCTATTTTAAGTAAATTTGTTAAAAAAGTTATTTAAAAGTAATTACAGGAAACAGTTTTAATGTACAGACAGACAGACTGAAGGTCACTCTAAAGTTATTTTTTAAACATCCCTGTTATCAAAATATAACATTTTTAAAATCCTATCATGATTGAAAAAGTTGGAGTAAAAATTACCAATTTCTCAAGTTCAAAATGGGCATAATTCTGGAAATAGTCTTGCTAGAGTATTGAGCACTCACAAATGTTGAGTGATAATAAGGAACATTTATATGAAGTTTGAAGTAGATACATTCAAAAAAAGAAGTTATTAAAAGGAACAATGTTTTTTTTTCCATGAAAATTTTAAGTTCAAGGGAGGTAATTCTAATAAATTTTGTGCTAGAGTTGTAAACTTTGTCACATATGATGTGGTTGATGACAAGCAACTTAAATTTAAAGTTTGAAGAAAATACCTTAAGAAATAAAGAACTTATAGTGAAAAAACTTAAAAACTAGAATCAGAAATCTTTAAATTCAGTCTATTTGTTGCCATAGCAATCAGAATTTTCAACATAGGAAAATAAGAAAAGGATGTGCATAATTTCCATACTGCCATCTACCCATATGTCAAATTTCAAAAAAATATTTTCAGTACTTTTTGTGTTATCACTGGATCCAAGTTACGTGTAAAATTTGCCATATTTTCAGTCTATTTGTTGCCATAGCAACCAGAATTTTCAACATAGGAAGAAAAAGAAAATAAAGGGGCATAATCTCCATACTGCCATCTATCCATATACACTGTAGCCTCGATAACTCTCTCTTCATTATAACGCTAATCTCAGTATAGCGCTCATAGAACTTGGCTCCCAAATAAAAAATTTAAAAAAAACTTCCCAAAAAAAAAAAATTTTTTTTTTTTAAGTAGACTTAGATTGATAGCGCGCTATAACGCTTGCTCAATTTGATAGTCAAGTACAATAAACAATTGTTATTTGGACATTTATGATCGCCAAAGGTGTGAAAAACATGACAGGTAAGCGTTTATGCGCTCTTTTGTTGTTTTACCTGTACATCAGTCAGGCATCAAATTGTTTCCAAAATCTCAAATTCATATCATAACTGTGACATGGGCAACCGGTGTCGAGTATAAATAAACTAAAATTCACACACATATATGTGACATGTAAACCTTGTTGAATTAAATAACCCACACAAGCCCAGAATCAATTTACAATCCTGCACTGTAAATAGAGCTGCCAAGATGGGAAGTAATTGGCGTTTGATTAACTAGGGGACACAACTAAAGCTGGATTGTAAGTTGTGTCCCCTAGTTAATAAAACGTCATTACAGTAATGGCTACCTGTTTTACACTACATTCATGATTTATAATTTTCTTTCGAAAGTTTTTCCTTTCTTTTAAATATAATTAGTATTATTTGTGAATATAATATATGTTTACATCATTGAATGGTTTTAGAAAAAGATAATGTCGATATTCATTGAACAGTAAGTAAAAAAATCAGCGTTAAATATATATGCAGTGGGTGGGGTAATGCGGTAATTTCGCAATGAGCGTTCTAATGAGAGCCTCGTTAGAACGCGGTGTTGAGACATTGGACCCCAACATGAGCGTTTTAATGAGGCTGAAGTGTATCAAGTTTCATAAAAATATTTTCAGTACTTTTTGCGTTATCGCGGGATCCAGGTTATGTGTAAAATTTGCCATATTTTCAGTCTATTTGTTGCCATAGCAACCAGAATTTTCAACATAGGAAGAAAAGAAAAAGACGTGCATAATCTCCATACTGCCATCTATCCATATACCAAGTTTCATTAAAATATTTTAAGTACTTTTTGCGTTATCGCGGGATCCAGTTTTGTGGACGGACGGACGGACTGACAGACGGACGGAGGGTAAACCTAAAGTCCCCTCTGGTAAACCGGTAGGGGACTAATAAGAACACAATAGGAGAGATTTTGTTCTTCTCAAACTTATATATATTATAGAATAGGTTACCTGTCATTTAAACGTTCAAGTATGTATGACCCCATACCAGAGCCTGTCCCTCCAGCTATAGAATGACACAGTACAAAGCCCTGTAAAACAACAGTATGTTTTATTCAATAGAATATTAAACAGTAAGAGAGTCACAATGATAAAATATGTTATAACATTGATGATATAAAACTAACAGAGGTGATCAAGTCTTAAACAAGAGGGCCATGATGGCCCTAGATCGCTCACCTGAATTATCAAACTCATCCAAACAATTACCTAGACAAGCATTCTGACCAAGTCTCATGACAGGTGAGTCAAAAATGTGACCACTACAGTGTTAACAAGGATTATCCATATTTGAGCAGTGCGACCTAGTTTTTTACCCAGGTGACACATATTCAAACTTGACCTAGAAATCATCAAAACAAACTTTCAGACCAATTTCCAGGATACTTGGATCAAAACAGTAGCAACTAGAGTGTTAACAAGATTTTTCTATTTTTAGCTCCGGTGACGTAGTTTCACATGCGATTTCGAACTCATCCAAGCAATTACCTAGACAAGCATTCTGACCAAGTTTGATGATAATGGAGTCGAAAATGTGACCACTAGAATGTTAACAAGGTTTTTCCATATTTGGGCGGTGTGACCTAGTTTTTCATCCAAGATGACCCATGTTCGATCTTGACTTAGAAATCATCAAAACAAACTTTCAGACCAATTAACAGAATATTTGGATCACAACAGTAGCCACTAGAGTGTTAACAAGATTTTTCTATTTTTAGCTCCTGTGACCTAGTTTTTCATCCGAGATGTCCCATGTTCGATTTATTCCCAGCAATGACCTAGACAAGTTTCCTGACCAAGTTTGATGACAATTGAGTCAAAATTGTGACCACTAGAGTGTTAACAAGGTTTTTCTATTTTTAGCTCCTGTGACCTAGTTTTTCATCCGAGATGACCCATGTTTCGAACTCATCGGAGTTATTACCTAGACAAGCATCTTGATCAAGTTTGATGATGATTGATGCAAAAATGTGACCGCTAAAGTGTTAACAAGGTTTTTCTATTTTTAGCTCCGGTGACCTACTTTTTCATCCGAGATGACCCATGTTCGAACTCATCCAAGCTATCAACTAGATAAGCATCCTGACCAAGTTTGATGATGATTGATGCAAAAATGTGACCGCTAGAGTGTTAACAAGGTTTTTCTATTTATAGCTCCGGTGACCTAGTTTTTCATCCGAGATGACCCATATTCGAACTCATCCGAGCTATTATCTAAACAAGCATCCTGACAAAGTTTGATGATGATTGGGTCAAAAATGTGACCACTAGAGTGGTCACAAGGTTTTTCTATTTTTAGCTCCTGTGACCTAGTTTTTCATCAGAGATGACCCATGTTCGAACTCATCCAAGCAATTGACTAGACAAGCATTCTGACCAAGTTTGATGATGATTGGTTCAAAAATGTGACCACTAGAGTGTTCACAAGGTTTTTCTATTTATAGCTCCTGTGACCTACTTTTTCATCCGAGATGACCCATGTTCGAACTCATCCGAGCTATCACCTAGACAAACATCCTGACCAAGTTTGATGATGATTGGGTCAAAAATGTGACCTCTAGAGTGTTCACAAGGTTTTTCTATTTTTAGCTCTTGTTACCTAGTTTTTCATCTGAGATGACCCATGTTCGAACTCATCCGAGCTTTCAACTAGATAAGCATCCTGACCAAGTTTGATGATGATTGAGGCAAAAATGCGACCGCTAGAGTGTTCACAAGCAATTGTGGACGGCCGGACGGACGACGGACATTCATCGATCCTAAAAGCTCACCCTGAGCAAGCTCAGGTGAGCTAAAAACAAAAACTAAATTTCCCCTTTGTTGAGTAAAGGGCTGCAAAGTTCAACATATTGATAAATATAAATAAAAACTTAAAATCAGAAAAAAATATTTAAAAGATGTAACGTAAAGTAGACCTAAAGGCACAACCACAGCACCTTGACTATTTCTCTACTTAATTTGTATAATGGACTTGCTTAGCTTTGAAATTTTAGTCCTTTATAAGTATTTTTCAGAATAATGACTTGTACATTATAACATAACTGCTGTATTCATGACAATAACTAGTCAAGATGAGCACCAGACAATATTTTTATAAGAACCAAGGCTAGCCTGGATGCATATCGGAAAAGACTTGTCACTTTTGTGCTCTAGAACTTAAGCTCTTACTGATTAATTATACAATGTTGCCTGTTAATTTGAATGTAAAAATGTTTAAATGAACAACTTATGTAAACCACTTAGTATTATCTTACTATTAACTTATTAAGAAGAAAACGGCAAATAAATTTTAGCAAACTTCCATTTTACTACAGATCTATAAAGATTAAAGATTTATAAAGAAGCTTGACTAGATACCTCAAGACTGTCACTGCCATCAGCTTCTCTATCTATAATATCAAACACTTCCTCATACAGTTGTTCTGCCTGAAATAATACAAGTAAGTCGTGAATCCAATACAAGTGTAATAAACAACAAATAATGGTAAGCACATTACCTTTGTTTTGATAATTAATTACAGACTTGCATCTACTTTAACCCTATTCTGACTTAATATCACCTTCATAAGTCAAAGAATTCAACAAAATCCACACATCCACTCTCTGTAAAACAACTTCATCTTTACAACAGTATTAATATTTCCCAAATTCAGACTTCACATCATATTAATCTCTCTTGAGAAGTATCTCTCAGCAACAAACCAAACCATTTTTTTGTGTTTATTGGTCTATAGAGGTTGTGTACATGTATGTATCAGTTAGAAAGGAACATTAAACACATTACAAACAATAGGCACTAGCAAAGTATTGTCTAACATATTGCAGGAGATGTCACCCATCTTCAAGGTCAAAATGAGAGCCTGCTTTTTTTAAAATAGACTTTCTCCTGCCCACCACTGACATACTTTTAACATAACAAAAATAATGCTATGCTCAATAAAGTTTACCAATACTGTCCTCCAATATGAAATCAATGGTAAACAGTACAGACCTTCTTTTTTTTTAAACTTTTTCTAAATTATGTACTCACCTGGCCATAGCCACTGGCCCAGTTGTTACCAGCACCTCCTCCATGTTTTGACAGGTAAATATTTTCAGGATTATACAAGTTACTGTATGGGGAATTCATGATTGTGTTTATCACTCTAGGCTCAAGATCCAAGAGAACTGCACGAGGAATGTAATGCTCATCATCAGCCTGTTCATTTAAATATAATACAATAGTCACTAATATATGTTCAGGAATATTCAGTCAGAAGAATTTTTACACTCAGAAAAATATGAAAGGAGTTACATTTGTATTCAGTGAAATAATGCAAATCTTATTTTTCATTGAACCCTTTCTTCTTAACCTGCTGATTTTCTATAGTGGTTTTCCCTTCTTAAATCTTTGAGATTGGGACAATTTGTATAAAATTTAAGGAATTTCCATAACAAAATACTAAACATTCAGCAACCAACAGCAAAGAAACCTTGTCAGTCAGCAATAGAACCTTGTCAGACAGCAATAGAACTTTGTCAGACAGCATATAACCTTGTCAGACAGCAGTAGAACCTTGTCAGGCAGCAATAGTACCTTGTCAGTCAGCAATAGAACCTTGTCAGACAGCAATAGAACTTTGTCAGACAGCAGTAGTACCTTGTCGGACAGCAATAGTACCTTGTCAGACAGCAATAGAACCTTGTCGGACAGCAATAGAACCTTGTCAGACAGCAATAGAACTTTGTCAGACAGCAGTAGTACCTTGTCAGACAGCAATAGAACCTTGTCGGACAGCAATAGAACCTTGTCAGACAGCAGTAGTACCTTGTCAGACAGCAATAGAACCTTGTCGGACAGCAATAGAACCTTGTCAGACAGCAATAGAACTTTGTCAGACAGCAGTAGTACCTTGTCAGACAGCAAATAGTACCTTGTCAGACAGCAATAGAACCTTGTCGGACAGCAATAGAACCTTGTCAGACAGCAATAGAACTTTGTCAGACAGTAGTAGTACCTTGTCAGACAGCAATAGAACCTTGTCGGACAGCAATAGAACCTTGTCAGACAGCAATAGAACTTTGTCAGACAGCAGTAGTACCTTGTCAGACAGCAATAGAACCTTGTTGGACAGCAATAGAACCTTGTCAGACAGCAATAGAACTTTGTCAGACAGCAGTAGTACCTTGTCAGACAGTAATAGAACCTTGTCGGACAGCAATAGAACCTTGTCAGACAGCAATAGAACTTTGTCAGACAGCAGTAGTACCTTGTCAGACAGCAATAGAACCTTGTCAGACAGCAATAGAACCTTGTCAGACAGCAATAGAACCTTGTTAGACAGCAAAAGAACCTTGTCAGACAGCATAGAACTTTGTCAGACAGCATATAACCTTGTCAGAAGAAAGCAACAGAAACCTTGTCAGACAGCAACAGAAACTTTGTCAGACAGCAATAGAACCTTGTCAGACAGCAAAAGAACCTTGTTAGACAGCAAAAGAACCTTGTCAGACAGCATAGAACTTTGTCAGACAGCATATAACCTTGTCAGAAGAAAGCAACAGAAACATTGTCAGATAGCAATAGAACCTTGTCAATTAGCAATAGAAAGCTTGTCAGACAGCAATAGAACCTTGTCAGACAGCAATAGAACCTTGTCAGACAGATAGAACCTTGTTAGACAGCAAAAGAACCTTGTCAGACAGCATAGAACTTTGTCAGACAGCATATAACCTTGTCAGAAGAAAGCAACAGAAACATTGTCAGATAGCAATAGAACCTTGTCAATTAGCAATAGAAAGCTTGTCAGACAGCAATAGAACCTTGTCAGACAGCAATAGAACCTTGTCAGACAGCAATTGAACCTTGTCAGACAGCAATAGAACCTTGTCAGACAGCAATAGAACCTTGTCAGACAGCAAAGAACCTTGTTAATTAGCAATAGAAAGCTTGTCAGACAGCAATAGAACATTGTCAGACAGCATAAGAACCTTGTCAGACAGCAATTGAACCAAGTCAGACAGCAATTGAACCTTGTCAGACAGCAATAGAACCATGTCAGACAGCAATAGAACCTTGTCAGACAGCAAAAGAACCTTGTCAGACAGCAAAAGAACCTTGTCAATAAGCAATAGAAAGCTTGTCAGACAGCAATAGAACCTTGTCAGACAGCATAAGAACCTTGTCAGACAGCAATTGAACCTTGTCAGACAGCAATAGAACCATGTCAGACAGCATTAAAGTGAAGGTTAACCTGGCTTTATACTGGTAGCAAAGGCAAACCATTTTTGGTCAAGCTGGATAGGGGTTAAGTCCATTGGAAGGATTTACCTGCAACGAAACTGTATGAAACAATGGAAGTGAATGGCTACACAGTTCATTTCCGCTTAGGAAGTATACATCATTACTAGGCCAAAACTACTTTAAACAGTTTTTTAAGGGTTTAACTGCCTTTAGTTAAATTAAACAAGTTGGTCAATAATGCATTTTTTTCCTAAGATGCTTAAGGGCTTTAATCAAAGTTTACCTGATAAAAGAATACATCTTTTCTATCTGTGCCCTCAGTGGCAAAATCTTCCAGCATACCACCTGAAAATAACGATAAAACTTACAATGAACAAAAGCCATTTTACAAATTACATGTACTGACATTCAAGCAAAAAGAACAATATACATTTAGGAAAATAGTCTAATATAATGAATTCAAGTGATTATTGTTATCTAAATTGACTGCTTTAATCTTATTTCCATTCAAATCAATATAGCACTCATTTGAATCAATTCACTTATCTCAAGTTACCCCAATATATCAGCTAGACTACCCTCTTTTTATGAATAAATGGATTAATACATAAAATATTTCCCAATCAAATCACAGGATTTTTATTAGTCGTAGTAATTTCAGACCAATCAAATACCCAAGATTAGAGTTAAAACTTGGAGAATTTCTTTATAACCTTGGACTCTTTGTCTTTGTTACATTATAGATAAAATTGATGGAGACATTAGTTGAACAAACTTAATGAATTAAATCAAAAAGACATAAGTCATAGATGAAAGCTACCAAAGTAACCCTGATCTTTATAACATAGAACTATTACCTGGACTAATGCCATGCTCTGCACAAAGCTGTTTCCAAAACTCCATACCAACTGAAAGAAGAATTGAATGCAAAACGTGAATAGTATAGTGTTTTCAATTTTTACTGCAGAAGCTACAGTTCTGTATACACACTGGCATGTCTATGTCCCCTTGGAGGTAGGTGACCGTTTTTTGCACATGACACATCGTGTCATTATTGTGAGTAATTGTGGTAAGTATTTACAAAATCCCTTCAGAGATAAGAAAGTTATGGACCGGACACAACATATACCCTCAAATAGACAATGTTGACCTTGAATGAGCAAGTGTGTCCTTGACCCTGGAGGTAGGGATCTGGTTGTTGCTCATGACACATCGTCTTATTATAACAAACATTTGTGCAAAGTTATTTCAAATTCCTTTCATAAATGACAATGTTATAGACCGGACACAAAAGTGTGACGGACAGACAGATGTTCCAAATAAATGGACTAAGGGGCAATTTCTTTTGTCATTTTCTTTTGTTTAATAAAGGGTCATGGTTTCTTATTCTATTGTTACAGAATAAACTCTATTGTTCTTTTTATTTCTGTTTACAGTTACATGGCTCCCTACTTCTCTTAAATAGCACCGACAGACGGACGGAGCCTATTTCTATATCCCTCTTTTTTCTTTGAAAAGGCGGAGGACACCAAGCAATTACCATAGTATTGCAAGCAATACAAAAGTCCCCTACCAAATAGAACTGCAGCAACATTCTCAAGGGCCATTGGCCATTCAATAAGCCATTGTGAAAGACATGAATGAACACTAAATATTCTGAGTTCTTAGTTTGTCTGTATCATAGTAATGCGTTAAGATTTCTAGTAACTGAATTGTGTTTATACAACAGATGATCAAAAGATCCAATTTTCTCTGGATGAATATGTATAAATAACATTTCAACTTTTCTCCAAGTACATTTGTTACAGACAGGCAGAGGGTAAACCTGAAGTCCCCTCCGGTTAAACTATATAGGGGACTAAAAATAGATGAGCTTATAATATAAATCCATAGTACCTATTCAATGATAACACATTGACTGGTATATTTTCACATTGAGAGGAGAGAACACAACTGTGTTAAGCTTTGTATATTACTGCAATTAGGCATAAATTTAGTCTAGCTAAAAGTTCTAGCCGTACATGAGTCAAGTAAGGCTAGCCAGGACACACTGTATTGTCTAGCCGTACGGCACTTTTCAAAATTATATGGTGTTCAAAAATGCCTTTTTATTTATATATTTTTATGTCTTTAAACAAGTATTTTAACCAAGAACCCTCATTTGTCCTCTAATACTCTAATAAAGATGCTCCACCATTTTGTCAAAAAGAAAAGAAAACGAATGAAATACAAGCATTGTCATCTTATAAAAAGTATCAAAGGTACATGACACATGATACAAAGTACATTGTATATGTGTGTGCAAAGTTATGTTTATGATTTAATAATAACTAGAAATGTGTCAATAGGACAGGGATGCCCCCACACGCCACTGTTCTGTCAATCTTATGACTCTAGGTCAAATATTTTTTGGTCTACATGTGCTACAAGTTGAAAACTAAAAATCAACAAACGACCATATTTCTGTTAAATTTGGTCGCAGCAAAAATTCCTTCCTTTACTACCATCTACACATTAGGGTTGCTGTCCCTTGAAGTTTAAGCAAAATCTGCCATCTGGTTTAAGAGGAGTTGCATTCACAAAATTTCTACATAGTTTATAGTGAAAAAATCAACAAAGGGCCATAATTCTGTTAAATTTGGTTGCAGCGAAAATTCCTTCCTAGACTACCATTCTACACATTAAGGTTGTTCATCCCTGGAAGTTTAAGCAAAATCTGCCATCCGGTTTAAGAGAAGTTGCGTTCACAAGATTTCGGGACGTACGGACGGACGCAATTATCTGATCCCAACAATTATTTTCGGTGCTTTTTTTCATTTTTAAAGGTGTTCAAAATTAAGTTTATTGAAACAAAACAAAAAGGGATTATTTATTATAATAATTATGTGAACGATTTCAATTGATGTTATTCAACTGCAACTAAATGCCAAGTCTAAGGACAGTGTTCGAAATGAGCAGTAGTCCTATAGCCCCCGACTATTAAATTTCTCCTCAGGCTACCAACTTTTCACAGTAACAAGCCTGACCAGGCTACTGTATTTTCAGAGGCAATATGAACAACTGTTTGAAATGAATCATGCTAGTGAAATGTCATTTTGGATAGTGAATATTCCAATCTGGTAGTTTGACCAGCCTAGTCGATTCAAATCCTAATTTCTAACACTGTAACTTGAAAGGAAGAAGTTTTCAAAAATTTTACAGACAGAAATAATACTTAAAAGATTTAAAGCACCAAAATGAATACTTAAGGTACGTGGTTGGATAGCAACTAAAATTATTGGCTTTAACTTGTGGACTATTGGTTAACATTTATCAGATCATGACACATTTATGTGACATAAATATTGAGATTTGTTTTGATACGTTTTTGGTCTGCACAAATAAAATGTCAGTAAATTCTACTTTTTAACAATGTCAATGCAAAATAAATGTTTATTACTTTGGTTCCCACATTGTCCCAGTTGTAATGTAATTATTTCTCGAGGCATTCTAAATTAAAACAGCACGTAAAGCCTGAAAACTTCAAAATTTCTTTCTAAAGTTCCGCGGCAACCATATCTTGTAGACTAGTTTTCAAGAGAAATTGTGAATTTGTGAAAATGAGCGAAAAGATCATTTAAGTCACGAAAGGATAAAAAAAGCTAAAATCTTTTGTCCAATTATATATATAAAAAAAGATTAAATGGTTCATTGTTTGAATTTAAAGATGTTAATCAGATTTTTTTCTCTTTTTTTATATAATAATTCACACAATTGTGAGTTTGATAACCAAAACAGGACTGTAGATTTTACTTAGTGTCCTTAGTCGCCTTCTATTTTTCATAGAACTTCATAGAACCACGTAGTGACGTATTCAAGTGAATAATAACGAGGCCAAATAAAGCTTGACACTAAGTATGTTAGTATTCATCCGTAGCTGTTCTACAGAAATTAGAAACATTCTCATGTCGCTATCGCTCCCGTCGAAGTTTCTAATCTCTGTAGAACAGCACGGATGAACACTAACATATACTTAGAACTTATTTTAACTTTACAATGGTAATAAACATATTATATCAAACTAAAGATGAATACACATATATAAATAATATCTAATAATTAAAAATAAAAGTTAAATAAGATTTTGTGAGCATTTGCGACGAGTCAAATTTTGCCCCATATTGTAAAACGAAGCTCAAGGACATTTTTGATGCGATGTGTCATATGACAACAATCAATAAAAAAAAACTCAAGAATGCTCAAGACCGCAAGAAGTGGGAAAGGCATAGAAAAAAACTTTTGGAATCAACACAAAGTATCAAATGGGTGTGACCCTGATAATATAAAGCCAATAATCATCATCCCTATCGCTGACACATGTACTCTCCCCTATTCTTTAGAGCTTCATAAAATTCTGAAGAATCTTCGGAATTTCATAAAATTATGGAAGTAATCCTCAACAATGGAAATGTACAAATACAGCTCTAATAGAGGAAACGTGACAGGTAAAACCACATAAACTACTGACCAATTTCCTTAATAGGTTTAGTCTGTAAAACTCTTTATCACGACCATTGTTACATCATAGTTAACGACCTTTCCGCATCAGTATTGCCAATAAAAAATCTAACAAAAACCAAATACAAAAACACACACAAAAAACAACAACAACAGGGGGAGGCTAAATGGGTCAAAAGTTTCTAAGATGAGAGGCACCAATCTGTAATACATATTAGATAGATCTATCTCTTAAGCTATACCAGTGAATTTTGAAGTCCGCCAGGGTCGGTGGTGCACAGACGCTTTTTCTTTCTCTTATACATAAATGGCACATTAACTAAATTTTTATGCAGTGAGTAGACAGTCTGTTAATTACAATTATTGAACGCTTTAAAGACCTCTGGGAAGGTCAACTCTCTAATGTTGTTAAAAAATAAAAAAAACTATAACATATAATTAAACTAAACATTAAAGACCCCAAACAAATCCGGTGCAACCAGCGCTTAACACTATTTATTAACAGAGAAAAGGTATAATGTTAATTGATCAAGAGGTGGTCATGTGGTACCTTAGATTACTGAAACACATGCATTTTCCAGTGTCACTATAAGTCAGATTACAAGACCCATTCCAAATGGCAAATATGCTTATTTTTTCTCAATCTTAAAAAATCTCAATTAAACTGAAATTTTCGATATCAAAACAAACAAATTTTGTTTGAATTCATTTCAGTATATGGTATCAGACACATGTTTTTCAAATTTAAATGTATTTTTAATATGATTTATATGTTTAACAGTTTAGCACAATTCAGAATACTATGCCAAAAGAGCATAAAGGAGGTTTCAAAAGGTACGACACAAAATTTCCGAAACGGGGCAATGTACTTTTCACTAAAATGGCTAGGAAAAGGCCTGAAACAATTTTATATACGTAAAATTATAAAAGAAATCAATATTTTGATTTCAAAGTCAAAGATTAAGCTAGAGCATGTCACATATGAAGGAACAAAAAGAAAAGGAAATGTCAAAAAAGTAAAACATATTGATGAACACAAGAGAGGTTTAACAGAAAACACAGATAGATTTTTTAATTGTTATTAACAATGGAATGATCAGACAAAAAAAAGACACAACAGGAAAAAACAAACAGTTTCAGTTACTCCTATGTTTTAATCTTTTAGTTTTATTATATTTCTTTTGTACAATGTATAATTATACGCACGATACACAAATTCACAATTTTAGAAACATAATCATCAATAATCATCCAGCCTACATGCAAAAGGGTTGGGCCAAAAGTTCTTACAACAGTATGCATTTACCCATGGTTATTGTGGTCCTTACCCGCTTTTAAAATTGAAAAGATCTATTTTTATTAGAAACCCTGTTAAGTTTAGTTTTATCGGTATTTTTAAGAGCAAATAATATAAATATTTTTTTCATTTAGTATCCAAACCACCCCTTATTTCATTTACAGGTATATAATGAGCCCTATTTAAGACACTCCCCACTCGGTTTCTAACACAGAGGCATTAGACAGTGGCCAAAGCATATGGTTTGCGTAATGGTAAAAATTAATTCTAAAAATAAGCCACATCAAAAACAAGATACAGAACACAAACATGAAAAACGAGAGGGTTTGATAGAATTTTTGGACACAGAATGTAATTGAGTGTTCTGTATGTGTTATAAAAGTAATAAGGAAAATGCTTATATAAAGGAGGGTGGATTTCAGGGAAATCTGTATGCTACTATACATGTATGTAAAGTAGTTTAATATTTTAGGTCTGACCACTTTCTTTAAAGCTTCATTCAGGAATTATGTTTATATTGACAATCCAACTGTCTATAAACACTTTCAAACTCTGATACCATGTTTTCAAACGTCACTGAAACTGGATTGTCTATACTAAATAATCAAAATGATGTAAATTTTACTAGGAATACTTTGTATATACTATTTATAAGTATGAAATTGGATATAAAAAAAAACCCAACCCTATTACCTTACACTGGAAACCCTTCATTAATACATTTCTTCTTCTTTTCGTTCTTTATTTGTTCAATCAAGTTGCAGCGGAGGAACCAGTCTGTGACTGCGCAAAATGTCAACAAATGATGAAAATCAGATAGGAAATTGAAATGTCTTAGAATAAACCTTTAATAATTTTACATCTGTCTTTTAATCAGTTAAAAACAAATTCAATTTTATCAACAATTCAGTTGCTTTTTTATTTCGCTCATCAACACTTGTCGAAATGGACAAGTCAAAAGATAACAGCGAAAAGTCTGAAAGTGAAGAAAAATTGGCATATTTTATAGAAACATTTCAGGAAGTTTTGAGCCCACTGGAGCCAACAATAATGAAATTACAAAGTTTACTGGTCTGGGAGAATCCAATGAAAAGCACTGCCATGATAGCAGGTGTTCACTGTATTTTCTGGTATGTATCAAGAAAGCAGTTGGTTTGACCCAAATTTGTATAAAGTAGGTCTATAAAACCTATCATTTATTCAAATTTTAATATTTTTATTTGATACATTAATATTTTTGTCAACCTTCAGGAGTACACATGTGCTTAACTCTAAATGTCGCTCTAGCTTCTATTAAACAAAAGAAATGGTCCCTTATATTCCATTTTGGTTGCTCGTCCATCTGTCTGTCTGTCTATCTATCACACTTGTGTATGGTCCATAACTTGGCACAAATGTTTACTTTAATAAAACAGTGTGTCATGCAAAATAACCCCTTACTCCATGGTCAAGGTCACACTTGGAGATCAAAGGTCAATACTGTCTGACGGAGGGTATGTTTCGTGATCAGTCCATACGATTTTCATCAACCACAGGATTTTGAAAAAACTTTGCAGAAGTGTTCAACATAAAAAGACGATGTGGCATGTGAAAAAACCAGACCCCTTAAGCCAAGGTAAAGGATGCCTTTGTAGATCAAATGTCAACATTTTCTAATGAAGGGTACATTTTTTGCCTGGTCAATAACTTTTTCATCCAAGGGATTTTGAAATAACTTTGTAGAATGTTCACCATAACAAGACAACTTGTCATGCCAAAAGCCAGACCCATAACTCCAAGTTCAAGGTCACACTTGAAGATCAATGGTCAAAATTGTCTGATGGATGGTATATTTTGTGTCCACTCTATAACTCAGCCACGTACCAAGGGATTTTGAAATAAATAGGCACAAATGTACACCTTGATATGTATTATTGTCTGATAGAGGTGAATTTGTGTTGGTTCATCAGGGATAAAAAAAAATTCAGAACCACTTTTCTCATCCTGCATGCTATGCTACTCGCCCTGCATTTTGTCGATAAACTTTGCCAATGCAATAGACCGCAAGAATTTTCATAATCAGTTTGTTTACATTTAATGATGGAACACTTGGAACAAAGCTTGTGTTGCAGGTTATGTATAAATTGCGCACTTTATAGAGCATTGTCAACTCAGGCACATTCCAGTAACATTCATATCAAATTAACAGTGCATTCAGAACTTAATGTCAAAATGTGTGACTGGAATGTGCCTGACAACGCTCTATTAAGTGCGTGATTCATACATAATCTATAACACATGTAGGCTCAACTTTTCCATTCATCAAAGGATTTTGAAATAACTTTGCACAAACATTCACCATATTAAGACAATTGGTCATGTGCAGAAACCAGTTCTCTACTACCAAGGTCATGCTCAGAAACCAAGGTCAAGGTTACACTTGAACTAAGTTGAATTTAAAAGCTTAATATGGTCTGTATTTTCCTTGTCCAGAGAATAACTGCAAGAGATTTCAGTGAAAATTGAATTATTAATAGATAACATCAAGAGGATGTTCCCTGCATAAGAACCATGACTCCATCTTAAATTCTTTTTAATTATCTCCCTACATGTTCTTATTTTTAGTGATCAAAACTGCTTAAATGTAATTCTGTTGAAGTGTACTTGTGAGTTATTTGATAAATGTATTGTTGCATTTGCAGATCTAGTATATATCAATATTTTGCACTGGAAGTCAAGAACCTTACCTCAAACTTACGAAATAATACTATTGTGTGCTTCATATAAAACTTCCTTGAGGTGGGGGATGTTGGTAACTCGTTTACAAATTCTTGTTGGTTATCAATGTGAAGTGTTGATTTTTCCTTTTGTAATTTCTTTTCCTGGAAGGCTTACAGGAATACTTTCACCTCCAGTTAACTATTTTTAAACTTTTCTTTCAGGTTTTTCATGTATAGTGGTTGTAGATTTTACTCAACTCTGAGCACTGTGATAATGGTTTTATTTTTTCTCCACACATGGAAAAAGAAAATTTGGCCAGAAATAAGAGGTAAATTCTTAGAACAATATCAGTATTACTCTGCTTTACAAGTTAAAGAAAATGTTAAAAAATATGGCTGCACTTAAGTTCCTTTTTAGCTCACCTGTCACAAAGTGACAGGGTGAGCTTTTGTGATCGCTTTTTGTCCGGCGTCCGTCCGGCGTCCGTAAACTTTTACTTTAAATGACATCTCCTCATAAACCACTAGGCCAATTTCATCTAAACTTCACAGGAATATTCCTTTGGTGGTCACCTTTAAAAATTGTTCAAAGAATTTAATTCCATGCAGAACTCTGGTTGCCATGGCAACCGAAAGAAAAAACTTTAAATATCTTCTTTTAAAAAACCCTAAGAGCTAGAGCTTAGATATTTGGCATGAAACATCTTCTAGTGAGTGTCTACCAAGTTTGTTCAAATAAAAGCCCTGGGGTCAAAATTGGCCCCGCCCCAGGGGGTCATTGATTTTCCCTATATGCATATAGTAAAAACTTAAAAAATCTTTGTTTAAAGAACCCAAAGAGCTAGAGCTTAGATGTTTAGCATGATACATGTTCTTATGGGTGTCTACCAAGTTTGTTCAAATAAAAGCCCTGGGGTCAAAATTGGCCCGGTCCCAGGGGGTCATTGATTTTCCCTATATGCATATAGTAAAAACTTAAAAAAACTTCTTTTAAAGAACTCAAAGAACTAGAGCTAAGATATTTAGCATGAAACATGTTCTAATAGGTGTCTACCAAGTTTGTTCAAATAAAAGCCCTGGGGTCAAAATTGGCCCCGCCCCAGGGGGTCATTGATTTTCCCTATATGCATATAGTAAAAACTTAAAAAATCTTCTTTTAAAGAACTCAAAGAGCTAGAGCTAAGATATTGAGCATCAAACAAATCTTCTTTGAAAATACCCAAATAGCCAAAGTTTAGATATTAAGCATGAAACATCTTCTAGTGAGTGTCTACAAAGTTTGTTCAAATAAAAGCCCTAGGGTCAAAATTGGCCCCGCCCCGGGGGTCATTGATTTTCCTTATATGTGTATAGCAAAAACTTAAAATCTTCTTTTTGAAAAAAACCCAAATAGCTAGAGTTTAGATATTAAGCATGAAACATTTTCTAGTAAGTGTCTACAAAGTTTGTTCAAATAAAATCCCTGGGGTCAAAACTGGCCCCGCCCCAGGGGTGTCATTGTTTTTAACTATATGTGTATAGTAAAAACTTAAAATAATCTTCTTTTAAAAAGCCCAATGAGCTAGAGCTTAGATGTTTAGCATGGAACATCTTCTTATGGGTGTGGGGGGGGGGGGGCTATATACAGGTGAGCGACCTCAGGGCCATCATGGCCCTCTTGTTTAATCCCCTTCTGCATAGTGAATAGGAATATAGGAATAGCCTTTGTCTGTCAGTCTGCACTACCGAATAGTGTTAAGGGGCCATCTAACTTTAAACAGAACAAAAGGGAACAATAGAGTTTATTCCGTAACAATAGAGTAAGGGGCCATTGGCACTTTATTAAACAATAGAAAATAAAAGAAATGGCCCTTTATTCCATTTTGGTCAGACGTCCAACCGTCCGTCCGTAACACTTTTGTGTCCGCTCCATAACTTTTAAACCGCTGAATTTTTTTTTAAATAACTTGGCACAAGTAATCACCATAATGAGACGATGTGCAGAGCGCAAAAATTGGGTTGCTACTCCCAAGGTCAAGGTCACACTTAAAGGTCAAATGTTAAAAAGTCTTCATTTCATAATAAAAAGTCTACATTTCGTGTCTGCTCCATAACTTTTTAACTGCTTAATTTTTTTTGAAATACGCCATAATGAGATGATGTGCAGAGGGCAATAATTGGGTTGCCTACCCCAAGGTCAAGGTCACACTAAAGGTCAAATGTTAAAAAGTCTTCGTTTCATATTAAAAGTCTACATTTTGTGACCGCTCCGTAACTTTTTAACTGCTGAAAATGTTTTGAAATAAGTTTAATAACTTGTCACAACTGATCATTATTATAAGACGATGTGCAGAGGGCAATAATTGGCTTGCTACTTAAAAGGTCGCACTATGTTGGTTTTGTCGTGATGCGGCTCAAATGTAGATGCTCTTTTATTTCCCAGTGAAGTTTGCTCCAAAAATTGTCCAATTGCAATTATTTTTATGATTACGAAAAATGTCTCAAAGTTTGTGACCTTTTAGCTCACCTGTCACAAAGTGACAGGGTGAGCTTTTGTGATCGCTTTTCGTCCGGCCGTCGTCCATCCGTCGTTCGTCCGTCGTCCATCCGTAAACTTTTACTTTAAATGACATCTCCTCATAAACCACTAAGCCAATTTCATCCAAACTTCACAGGAATGTCCTTTGGTGATCACCTTTAAAAATTGTTCAAAGAATTTAATTCCATGCAGAACTCTGGTTGCCATGGCAACCGAAAGAAAAAACTTTAAATATCTTCTTTTAAAAAACCATAAGAGCTAGAGCTTAGATATTTGGCATGAAACATCTTCTAGTGAGTGTCTACCAAGTTTGTTCAAATAAAAGCCCTGGGGTCAAAATTGGCCCCGCCCCAGGGGGTCATTGATTTTCCCTATATGCATTAGTAAAAACTTAAAAAATCTTCTTTTAAAGAACCCAAAGAGCTAGAGCTAAGATATTTAGCATGAAACATGTTCTAATGGGTGTCTACCAAGTTTGTTCAAATAAAAGCCCTGGGGTCAAAATTGGCCCCGCCCCTGGGGGTCATTGATTTTCCCTATATGCATATAGTAAAAACTTAAAAAATCTTCTTTTAAAGAACTCAAAGAGCTAGAGCTAAGATATTGAGCATGAAACATGTTCTAATAGGTGTCTACCAAGTTTGTTCAAATAAAAGCCTGGGGTCAAAATTGGCCCGCCCCAGGGGGTCATTGATTTTCCCTATATGCATATAGTAAAAACTTAAAAAATCTTCTTTTATAGAACCAAAAGAGTTAGAGCTAAGATATTTAGCATGAAACATGTTCTAATAAGTGTCTACCAAGTTTGTTCAAATAAAAGCCCTGGGGTCAAAATTGGCCCCGCCCTGGGGGGTCATTGATTTTCCCTATATGCATATAGTAAAAACTTAAAAAATCTTCTTTTAAAGAACTCAAAGAGCTATGACTAAGATATTTAGCATCAAACATGTTCTAATAGGTGTCTTCCAAGTTTGTTCAAATAAAAGCCCTGGGGTCAAAATTGGCACCGCCCCGGGGGTCATTGATTTTCCTTATATGTGTATAGCAAAAACTTAAAAAATCTTCTTTGAAAAAACCCAAATAGCTAGAGTTAAGATATTAAGCATGAAACATCTTTTAGTGAGTGTCTACAAAGTTTGTTCAAATAAAGACCTGGGGTCAAAATGGCCCCGCCCGGGGGGTCATTGATTTTCTTTATATGTGATTAGCAAAAACTTAAAATCTTCTTTTTGAAAAAACACAAATAGCTAGAGTTTAGATATTAAGCATGAAACATCTTCTAGTAAGTGTCTACAAAGTTTGTTCAAATAAAAGCCCTGGGGTCAAAACTGGCCCGGCCCCAGGGGTGTCATTGTCTTTAACTATATGTATATAGTAAAAACTTTAAAAAAATCTTCTTTTAAAAAGCCCAATGAGCTAGAGCTTAGATATTTAGCATGAAACATCTTCTTATGGGTGTCTACCAAGTTTGTGCAAAATAAAAGCCCTTGGGTTAAATTGGCCCTGCAACGTTGGGTGGGGGGGGGGAGGGGGTTGGGGGGGGGGCCTATATACAGGTGAGCGACCTCAGGGCCATCATGGCCCTCTTGTTTATAGACTAGCATAAAAAGATTGTTTTTTCCTTTCAGTTCCACCTAAAAGTCCAGACATAGATGAGTAAGTAAAACATTATAGTAATATATTCTGACACAATGTCACTGGTGATAACTTTCTGTTGTTAGGTTAGATCATAGCATTAAAGCATATTTTGAAGTTTGTTTAGTAAAAATGCTTACGTTAATGTGATCTTGGTCAAGTGAAAAATTTGAGTCTGCTGGAAAAACTAAGTAAATGGTCCTGATGAAGGAAAATAATTTTGTTTTACCTTTTGTCATCAAAATATGCTTGCACTTTCTAGTGTTTTGGATAAAACATGTGGGAGTCATCTGCAATTTTATTTAATAACCTCTTTTTTATGGCACTTTTGTGAAAATTTCAAACCTTGCCAAGTGATTTTCATTATTTCTTTTCCAATTTGATTGAATTGTAGCATATGAGTGATTTATTTTATTATCTGATTACATAGATGGACACCTGTACATCCAAGGTTACTAAGTGTGCCTGAAATATGTAAACATTTGAGTTCAACATGGTGCTACCTTTTAAACTGTGTGAATTGGTGGACAACATTAAGGAGAGAGCGTCCCCTTAAGGTAAGCTATTACAGTTAGACATTGATACAGATGTATGTTTACGAACTATTCTGGTTGTAAGCTTGAAAAATGAGATTATGAAAGAGAATATTAAGCTAATTAAAGGCATGAAATCATTAGTTAATTAACTGTTGTCTTGTCTCATCAGATTTGTTAAGACCAGCTTTGGGAAATGGAAAGTGGCTTCTAAAAATAGGAAAAAGAACATTACTCAGAAGGGAAAATAACATCTTGGCCTCCTGTAACTTTAATAAACTTATTTGAAAGAAGATTTGATTTCGTATCAACAAAAGTGAAATACCTGTATAAAACTGCATCATAAAACCCAATTTGGCATTCTCCTGGTTTTCTTAATTCATTACCAACTATTACTTATTCAAATATATATATAGCTGAATATGTGTAATTTATTTGTCCATATTTGAATTTGGAACAGTCCATTTAAATTTTAAGGGATTTTATTAACAGGTAACAAAAAGTATAAAGCCTGGTTAAAATTAAGCTGCTCAATTGTGCAGGCTTGCCTAGCTCTTACAGGTTGCCAAAGCTAATCACTTGGTTCCAGGAGGTAATCCAAAATTGAGAATAAATATTATATACCAATACAACATTTTACATAATATCATTACCAGATTATTTTTTTCCTTTTACAGTTTTGTATTGAGACTAGTTTCATATTTACCTGTCTGGCTGTGATAGGACATTATATATCAGATGTTATGCTGTCATATATTATAAGTAAGTCATTTTTCATTATGGGCAAATATACATGTAAATTAAAGTAAAATTATGCACATTTTGTTGCTGTTTTGTTGAGCTGTATTAGTTATTACATGTAGCTATATATTTAAAAAGATGGACCATTGTCATGGTGGTTGACCAATACTTAGGAAATAAATATCAATTTTTAGTGCATTGTTGTAGAATAATGCATGATTCCACTTAAAATGCACAGGAATATAATAACAAGCTTAGAGGCCTGAGTAATGAATGACAAAGCATTTGGATGATAAACCATGCATTGTTATACTATAATGCAAGAATAATTATCATCTTTTTCCATTTACAGGACAAGTGACTTTGAAAATATTATTTGATGCCTGTTATAAAGTTTTTGAAGTGATTTGTAGTATTAAACTTTGGCTACATTAATTTACTAACAAACAGTACATTTTGATACATCTTTCACTTGGTATTTTCATGTTAAGGCTGTTCTATGAAGATCTGTGGCTTGATCTGTTTATTTGCATGGAGTAAATGCTGAATTTATGTCAAATCTTATACTTTACATTGTGAACTTTTTTTTTATTTTAATTTGCAGTAATGAGCATCATCTTATGGCCATGTTTACAGTATCATAATTTATTGAAGAAAATCTACATGAAATTTGAGCCAATATTTATGAAGCTGGATTATTCAATTAAAGTGAAAAATAAGTGGAGATATGAAGGAGGTTAGTGTGAATCTTGTGTAAAATCTTACAGTCATGATAACATATGGGATGTTTCTGTAAAATTGCTTGAGTTTCAGTGAAACTGCAAGTACATGGTTGCTTTTCAACACAGGAGATGAAAACAACCATGTTTCTAAATATGACAGTGCTGGTTATAGTACTATTAAACTTAATTCATGTAATTTAATACATTAACATGATTAGGTTCAAACCAAACTGAGCCAAAAAATGAATTTTGGTTCACCCATACCATGTCACCATATAACTCCAATGGTAGTTAGGTTGAACATGATTTGATTATTTAGAGTTAAAGAACTTGTTTCACCTTCAAGATTAAACTTTTTTTATCATAATTTTTTAACTAAATCAGAATATGAATTTTAAATATTTCAGATATTGACAATTTTCAGTCCATCCTGTAAAGTTTTTCTGTAAATTTTACACAACATCTGTCTCAAACCTGTATTTTGGTTTGTTTATACCACAAAGCCCTTAATTCTTAATATAGTTAGACATACATTAGAATTAGAAAAGAAAATTCATGAACAAATGTAGACTGTAACAATTAAAAATTTTATCTATTGAGAAGAAGATGTTTAAACAATGTTGATGAATTAGAAGTATTTGATATTTTAGAAAGAGCAGCTGTAACAACCAGTGAAAATACCGACGATGAAGGAATGTTGACAAGCTCAGTATGTGCTGATAACGAAAGCGACCTTGAGGATTTTTATCCTTCTGATCCAATGATATCAGCAGCTCTAGCCCGTGCAATAACAGACAGCGAGGACGAGGGTGGTACACCTTCAACATCTCTCACACCAGCACTCTCCAAACAGCCCTCTGTTATCAACTCAGATGATGGTATGTATGGGTTTTTTTTTTCTCCCAAGCTTATTTTGGAGGTCATATACAACACTGTTATAATCATATGACAGGCTTAAGTTACTGGTACTTACATTAACTTTGAATCTCTTGCCCCTCACAGCTTTGGGTTAAAATTCTGTCAGGGAATTTGGATTCTTTGAAGTTAGTGATCTTCTCTAGCACCTGCTTAGAGGTCAACTGAGCTCTTCTTTCACAAAGCTGCAGTCCCCATAAGACCTTTAATGTAAGTCTGTCTATAAATCTGACCAAAAATAATAAAAAAAAGGATACTGTAATGTAAATGTTAACATTTATTTGCTTTAATTCTATAAGTATTAGAAAAGTATTCTGTAGTCACATTACTACCAACCTCTATAGCCGTTTATTTTAATTTCCTGACATTTTCTTCATGTAACTATGTGCAGCTTTTAAATACTTTGTGGGCTATTCGTTTTTAATATAAAATTTACCTTTTATAACATTTTTAAGTGGCTCAAAAAAAAAAGTCTTCAAAATAGTTTTAGCTCTACATGTGTTGAAAGTTTTATGGTCCTGTGGCCCATTTAATTGCATTCATGCTATTTTTTTTTTACTTCAAATAAATATCAAACTTACTTACTTTGAAATTGAAGCAATTGTTATGTCAACTCAAGAAAAATATTTTTTTTAAAAATCATTTTAAAGTAAGATTTATTCAATTTCAAAGAAAACAAACAAGTTTTATTTTTGCTCACTGATTGAAAACAAAGTTTTTTGCTTTAAGTTATACATGTTATATCTTTTCCCTAAATCTACTCTTTATGGAGCCAGTATAAAATCACAATTATAATGTTTTACAGACTTCAGTGATATGTGATAAATTCCTTTCCAGAAAATAATCATGTTGAGGAAATGGAATCTGAGTTTGCTCTCAGTATAGACGTAATGCCATCATTTAGTGACATATTGGATCACAGTGACGACGACCTTCTGGACGATCTACCAAGCATCGAGCCACCTAGATCAAGTCGTGAAAGCTCAGGTGATAGTATCAGATTCATACCTTCACATTTTGAAGAATCAGATGAAGAGGAAACTTTAGCACATGACTTGCCAAGAACTGAAAGACAGAGAATGTCCAAAAAAGATTCTAGGCAGCGTAAAGTTGCGGCTCAGTCTGGGGAACAAGACATTATGACCCAAGCTCTGTCTACTATGGTAAGTTCAGCTATTCAGAACACTGTAATGGGAACACTTCAAAATTTGGCGGCAAAATCGAATCCAAGGTTGGCGCAGTCTTCTGGTGATAGATATGCAAGCATTCATAGTGACTCTGATGATGAGGTAGATGATCATGGTCATGAAGGCGCTCATAAAGCAAGAAGAGGATCAGGGGAAACTGCAAGTTTAGACATTGAGGAAGAGTTTGACTTTCTAGAGGAATATGATATTGGGAGTGCTGAGGAAAAGGATTGAACAGTGTCATCAGCATTTTTAAATATTTCTTGATTTTGTTATGGTAGTAGTTATTTCCCCCATAGAAATGAGCCCGTTAGTGTCATTGAATTGTTCTGTGAGTGTAACTGATAATGGTACTGCCCACTTTTTTTGTCTGGTATAGAAACAAGCATGTGAGAGATCATGATTTTGATGAAAGATAAAAAAACATGCTATGATTTGACAAAATAATGACATGACAATAGTTAAGTGCATGGTTTGAAGTTATTTGCTACTCACAGTTTAGCATATTGTAATTACACATTATTTTCTATATTTGCATGTTATAATTTAAGTATACAGTACAGGCTTGTTTTGTTATTCATCATTGACAAAGCACACACAGTTAATGTATTTTGGTTTATTTGTAATATGTTATTTATGTCATTTATGTGAGCATATGCAGGTAACATTTAAAACAGAATGTAAAGAAAAAGATTTTATTTATAACAATAAACCGGGCAAGGCAATTTTGGAAAGTATATGCAAATTCTTGTATATATTTTTGTATAAGAGATCAGAAGAAATCAAAAATGAATTGGAGATAATATGAAATGATAATGTTACGCTAAGATCTTGGGGAATAATCAGAAGTGACATGATCACAATCTTCTTGTGGAAGAAAGTTTTCATGCAAAGAGGAGATATACATAATGAAATGATGATATTTGATAGTAAGTTAATCAGGTATAATCAAATATAGCATGTTAACAATTGTCTTGTGGTTGAAGTACTATTACATTGAAGTTAGTGTAATATGGCCAATGATATATGGGAGGCAGTGGTTAAAAGAACACATATCAAGAAAAGATATTTGTAAGATTATGACAAAAAAGAATTTATATTTCTGATATTAAATTTGTTGTTAAAGATTCTGTAACAGTTTTTTCTTCTTGAAAGTTTCTTTAACATAATAGTAAGAATGTGTACACCAAAATGTTTTATCACCATATTTTGTTAATTTTGATCAAGATTAAAGAATTCTATATGGGATGTATTATTGTTAGAAATTTATAGCCTTGAGTTCATATTTTAAATGTTTTAATTACATTTGATATGTATTTGAAGAAGAATTATGATTTTTGTACAGTTGGTGTAACATGCAAATGAAATTAATGATGTTATCTTCATTCATCATTGATGTATCCTATTAATTATTTCAAAACTTGAAAGCAAAATTTTGACATAATGTGACACCAATTTATCTTTTCAAATTTCTAAATTGCTTTGGTGTTTTTAGATAGTAACATTTGCTTTGAAGTATATTATTTTGATGTTGAAGGCAATTGTCTATAAATATTATAATATTAATATGCTACCATCATTTTTGTGTGATTTGTTTCTTAACTTGTCATATTAATCATTTTTAATACCCCTAACAGTGCTTTTGTATAACTGTTTTGTCTTATTCTCTATATGGAACTGTTTGCAAATATTCCTATAAACATGAATTCTTTTTATCGGTGAGCTAAATAGAAGTAATTGGTAATGAGAGGAAAGCTAAGTAGTCACTAATTGATATTCCAATTAGTCGAAGTAAGTAAATGATTTATGGGGGAGGTGTGCCAAAAAAGTAAAACACAGTGACTTGTTGTTGTTCTTGCAGTGACGCCTTATTTGTGCTATTTATATATACTGGAATAAGTTATATATTTTATTATCATTTTTAATCTGTGTACCATTCTTAGCTGTGTTATTTGATTATTTTTTTGTCCTTTGTCCTGGTGTATTTTACACCACATGTGTTAATCTAAGTACATATTATGTTTGCTTATGTCATTGTGGTGTGAAAAAAAAATGTACTTTTGGTTGTTTTTAAAATTTTACTTTACCATCTATTACATTATATACATTTACTTATTGGTAGCATAAATACTTAAATCTTTAAGTTTTATTTTGTTTTTTTTTCTGTCGCTTCAATTAAGAAATGCTGACCTAGTTATCCAGGACAAGGGGTTCTGTCCAAGGAATATGGATTTTAATCGTAAGGTATGTCCCTATCTGTGCCATGTTATTGTGGAATAGTATATGTGATTCCAATCATAACTAATAGCTTATTGACTCACACAATACCTGATGAAAAATTGGCAATCCTCCAATGTTTTCTTATGTATAAATTGCCAATATGCCATCAATAATATTTGAGAAATTGGCAAGCCATCATTGATTCCTAAGGAGATATTTGCAAACTGCCATCATCAACGACAGCTTTCAAGAAGTTAGCAAGCAATTAGCCTTCAATGAAGAAATTGATAATCTGCCACCATTGATTTCTGTGGTGAAATTGGCAATTTGCCAATATTAGTTTCAGTGATTTTTTAGACGAAATTGGCAATCTGTCATCATATACTGCAATGATTTCTTATCAGAAATTGGCAATAGGTTGCTAGAAAACTGATAAGCAGTGGTACACATTCCATGTTCTTTCCTCTGATGTTTCACTGTACATAATGGTAATAAATATATGGGTCCAAATATTCAGACATAATGCAGATAAAGAGACAAACTATAAGAATTTAAATATTTATTTTGTTTTATACCAGATATGTCAATATAAGGTTACAATATTTTAACTTATTTCATATGCATACACAAGAACATTGTCTGATACCCACGGCCTAACCATTGACATTTATCAGCTGTAGGATTTTTGGCTGATATCTAGTTGATTAGAAGTGTGTCAAAGACGGCTATTTCATTGGTTGCCTCATGAAATATGAGGCGATTAAAACTAAGCAAAAAGTCATTCTATAGAATGTTCCGCATTACAGACAAAATTGCGGCAACCAATTAAAGTCAGCTGTCAAAATTTCAATATCAAAAATGTAAACGATTTCCAGCAAAAAAGCATAAAAACTTACTGTTACTGATAGTTTTTACCTTCGTCATTGAAGAATATAAATTTTGTTAAACACAATAATGTTGGTTGATATTTTATGCACCTGTTGCTGTATATCGACACAAATAAATTTATTTACCCACTGCTTGATAACATGGTAATCAAACACGGGTATCAGATGATGGCACAAGAATAATAATATCTAAATATAAAAAAGCACAAGTAAATCACTTACAATTAACTTTGATAAATATATAATCAAATTATCATAAGTAAACATAAAAGAAGTCCCAATAAAGTAAGGGAAGCTAATACCACAACTATTTAACATAAAATACAACACAAACATTACCAGTATTATGGCAATTGTAAGTTGACTATCCTGAGGTTAAAAAAAAATTGCAACAAAACTGTAATATAATGAAAAAAAAAAACAACACACAGTCATATATAGTTTTAAAAAAATTCAACAACTACTCTGTTATAAAAGGATCAGCAACCTACAAAACTACTAAAAGTAATGGTATGGTCAACATATGCAGCCATTGTACAAATATAATCTACAAAATCAGTCATTTTAACTTCATTATTTATCACATTTAATCCACATTATGATCACAGAATAAAAAATTAAGGCATAATAATATCTGAATGATAATATCTGACTATATAAAAAGTATAAGTTCTAAACAAGGGCAACATTATTGCAAAATACGCCTGTCACAAAAGCTTTTGACAGAGATGTGGGCATTATGGGACATGCTCTGGGCTATTTCAGGAAAATAACTGGATAATTTTTCATCTCTAGTGACCTTGACCTTGCAAATATTGACCTAAATTACATGTGTCATGCTTGTAGTCATGACAGTTCTCATTGGTGTTACAATCCATCAATAAATGATGACTAAATAGTCCCCATGCACATACTTTGACCTCTCTATTTGACCTTGGCTTTGGTAGCAGGGACCTGCATTATTACGCAATAAGCCTCACAATGGTAAACATTTGTGCCAAAAATTGGATGCCGCCCACCCTACTGCTTGTCCACCCGCCAGGGGGAAACTATAATACAACCCACTTTTCAAACCAGCATATAAAAATATCCTTCAAAGAAAATAAAACTAAATAATCTTATCTAAATAATAAGAAATCTAAATAATAAGCCATATTAAAACTTAAAATGCAAAAATGAATTTTAGGATAATCTGCCATTCTAAAATGGCGACATATTTTGATTGTGAACATGTATATCATGTTTGAAGTGAATAACCTTCCTAGTTTTCATAAAAATCACTTCTCATGCTGAAATTAAGCACACGAAAAAATGAAAACAGCAAGGTAAATGGATGAGACAATGTTTCTACAATACATGAAATATCTGAACAATAATATAAAATGTGTTAAACATATCACATAATTTTCATTTAAATCCTGGAGAAATAAAAACCCTGAAAACTGTATAAAGAAAATGCCTTGCCAGTGAAATAGACTGTAAAGATCAATTAAATGTGACAAGCAAAAATAAACCTGTGAAAAGTAGGAAATTTAAGTAAAAATGTTTGAAGGTCTTGCTGGGTGTACTGATCAGCTGCATAATATAAAATCATGAGAAAAAATCTCCAATGTTTAAACTAACCATTTTAACACTTCATACAATTTTGTTGAATAAAAGGCAATACCTGGTAGATGTCTTCTGAATGTTCATCTGCTCAAAAAAAAGCACAAACAATTCTAAAGTAATGAGCAAGTAAGGAAGACACATTTTTCCATTTTTTTTATGCCAGATACCTTTACTGTAATGAAAAAAAATAGGAATACTATTAACACATTCTAAAAATGTACAAAAAAAATTAGGGACAAATAAGGATTGCTAGTGAGCCTGATTTCATGTACATGTAGTTAGGAAAGCTAACTTCACTAAACATAAAAAAAATATTGCATAATGTCCATTAAAAAAATAAGCATATGTAATAAATCTATATTTTATAAAATTTTGTCAAATACAGGAAGAGTAAAAAATAAAAATAATAAAACAACCTAAATAAAGAGGTAATGTTACCTCTTAAACAAATTAGCCTTGTTTTAAAACAAGTATCCCTCTTAAAACAAGTTACCTGTTTAAATAAATTAGCCTTGTTTTAAAACAAGTAACCCTCTTTAGACAAGTTCCCTTCTTAAAACAAGTATAAACCCTCTTAAAACAAGTATAAACCCTCTTAAAACAAGTATAAACCCTCTTAAAACGAGCATAAACCCTCTTAAAACAAGTTATCCTCTTAAAACGAGTATATTAACCCTCTTTAAACAAGTATAAACCCTCTTTAAACAAGTATAAACCCTCTTAAAACAAGTATAAACCATCTTAAAACAAGTATAAAATCTCTTAAAACAAGTAACCCTAATCTAAAACAAATTATGCATGTCTATAATGATGCTTTTCATTGAATCATTATGATCTTTAATAAATACAGCTGCTGTCAATTAATCAAGTTGGTTTCCATATACTAAAAGTAACTTATCTTGAAAAAAAATCTAAGAGACATTTCCATTATAATCACAGGAATTTATTTAATGAGGTTAACATGTATCTAAAACAAAATTTAAAAACAATACATGCTTTATAGAAGCACAGAAATACAATAGATTAAATAAATGTAAAACAAAAAATGATAAAACATTTCAATACTCAATATATAGTACCCGCTTAAAATATTTTCTGTTTATTCATTGTTTTATAAACATGTAAATTATGCATAAAAGATATTAAACAAATGTAAATTATTCCCCCCCCCCCATAGAAATTAGCACATTGACTGAATACACCTATACAATCAATTCTAAAAATTTAATAAGCGAAGCTCAATCATATAATTAATGTAAATAAAATTTGTTTGTATAAAATATGTAAAGGTTTTATGGCTAGGCTATCTCAAATTATAGTTATATCTCCCATGCAGTATCTTCCCTGTTGGTTTTATCTTCTGTGGTAGTTTTATCTTCTCTGTTATGTTGTACCTTCGATGTTGGTTTTATCTTCGTAGTTATATCTTTCATGTTATGTTGTACCTTCCGTGTTAGTTTTATCCTCTGTGGTAATTGTATCTTCTATGTTATGTTGTACCTTCGATGTTGGTTTTATCTTCGTAGTTATATCTTTCATGTTATGTTGTACCTTCCCTGTTAGTTTTATCCTCTGTGGTAATTGTATCTTCTATGTTATGTTGTACCTTCGATGTTGGTTTTATCTTCTTTAGTAGTTAAATCTTTCATTTTATGTTGTACCTTCCGTGTTAGTTTTATCTTCTGTGGTAATTGTATCTTCAAGTCTATGAACACAACCATTGGTACCATCAAGATGTATAAAATCTCCTGATCTAAATCTAGTGGTAGCATCAGATACGTTAACAACACATGGCAGTCCGTACTCCCTAGCAACAACAGCTCCTTTACAAATAGAAATGATCTTTTGTTTATAAATAAACTAACTAATACTCTAACTGAAAAAAAAAAAATATTGCAGATGAAGTAAAGTTTCGGTATAACTCCTGAAAAATATCAAAATTTTATAAATGCTTTATTACTTAGACAATCTGTACAATAAAAACACTTTCAAAAAGAAAATAACTGATGTTTATGGAATAACAAATGATGTAATGTCTGTTTAATTTGTTAAAGGTGAAAATATTAGTTATGTAAAAAGAAAACTTGATTCAATCAAAACATATACATTACAACATGAGTACAGTTAATATATATGATATAATATGCATAGTATAAAGGGGTCAACATGTGATGCAAAATTTCTCATAATTGATATTAAAAGAAAATTCTAAGACCTGGCTCCAAAATATGAAGATACCTGAAGGCATGCTGATTTGTATTACTTTAGCCCTCTGCTATAGTTTCAGCAACAAAGCTTAAACTTTATACACATAGCTCTTAACATGAAAATGAACAAGCTGCTTTCCTCAATATTTTTTTTTAAGGTTACCTTTATTCCTACAAAAAGATTTGAAATTATGTAAATAAAATAAGCAAAAAACATAAGAAAAAAAAATTACAGCCTATATCAAAATAAAGCAACACATAAATAGATAGAATTCAAACTTCACATTCAAAAACAGTCTATCCACTCTTCTTACCTGTTTAGTGATGCAGTTTCATTTTGTTATGGGAAAAACCTGATTCCTGTAACTAGTCTACATATAAGATTTTAACTTACCACAGAAAAACCAGATTTTTGTAACCAGTCCAAAGATTAAATTCAACTTACCATGGGAAACCAGTCCACCCATTTCAGTAACCAGTCCAGAGATCAATGGGAAGTATGGTGACCAGCCTACATCAGTGTAACACACTATCAGTATATCTCCTTTCTGCAATAAACAGTCAATTGTAAGCTTTTACTAAAATCTAACCTGTATCAAACTGTATCGAGCATTAGTTGGGACAGGAGTAGAATATTCAAATAACAGTAAGAAAATAAGGTGGACACAAAATGGTTTCATGACTAAACATGACAGAGATTCACTTCAAAATAAAATTTTACTTAAAGATAAACTCTTTTATGTATTTTTTATTTGATAGAGAAACTTATTAACTTTTCAATAAAACTCCTACAGATTTGCTCTCAAATGAAAAAATATATCAGTTGTTAATAATACATCGGTGTCACCAATGTTAACCCTAAACCTCATATATACACGAAACAACGCACTTTCGACCCCCCCCCCCCCCCTTTTAGGCCTCAAATAGTGAAAAAATGTCCTATTTTGGCCCTAAACTCATGTTTTTGTTTTAGAAATGTTGCTAAAAAAAAATGAAGACATTTTCGGCGCCGCCCCAATCCAAAAGATACATCAGGGGGCTGCCAGAAGGGGGATGTGTACTCTTCTGTTTGGGGGGTTTGAAGGGGGGCGGCAGTCCCCCTCATTGCCAAGAAAATTTTGGACTTGTGAGAGGCTAAAAATGAGGCTAAAAATGACCCCAGGTCGATCCTAGGGTAACGTGTAACCAACGCTAGAAAGCCTTTGACTCTATCTCAATCCCTTGAGAAGTTGCAGCACTTTGAAATAAATTTTGATGGAAAAAATCAAGGCAAAACAGTGATTTTTGGCAATTTTGAGATGTCTCCACATTGCCATGGTAACAGGAAATTTAAGACTGAGCATGTCGTTTCGAAGGCAATGGTCCAGTCAACAATTTTGCCAAGTTTTATTAGTATTGAAGCATTTTTCATAGTTTCATAGCAGTCTGAACTTGTAACAGTAGGCTTTTCAGTGAAAACGGCCATTTTTCACAATATGCTCATGAGGGAAAGGGTTAAGTGTTATTTTTCTAATTCTGACAGTTAAAAAAAAATAAATTAAGTTAAAGAATTTGAAAAATATAGGACCAACTGACTTCCAGAAGACCATCTAAATCTCAAATCAAGTGGTCTGCTGACCAATAAAGTTAATGTTGAGGCTTGGCAATATAGCATGATGGACAAACACAACCAAATTTATATCCCCCTCCATCAACCTACCCTATCTTAACAGTCATGTAAGACAAAATTAAATTTATGCTTGCATGATTGCATGACTATAATTATACAAGTGATAAAGGCATCCAATATAGTTGCAGCGTTATAAGGTCTAAATAAACATGTTTAAATCTGTGTTTACCATAATCTGTGCAGCATCATCTAACGACTTCACAACTCTAGCTTGACCTTTGACCTCTCCAACACTTACTGGCATACCTGAAATCAAAACATTTTAACAGTTATGCAGTTTTTACTTGTGGATAGAAAACACAAATGCAATCCTTTATTTAGGATTTTGAAGCACAAACTGTAACTTGAGTAAAATCACCAACCTCCAATAAACTTATTGGATATCTAGCTGACATGAAAGAAATGAAGTACCTGCTGGGATTCAAACCTACAGCAGTCAGGAGCAGTGGTTCTTAGACAGTGATTTAACCACTCTGCCACAGACCGCCTACAATATTTTCTATTGCCATGACTAACAAAATCATGCAAAGAATAGTCTGTTTTTCCCCATGATACTGAAATCCCTTATCTGCTGGAACAAAAAGAGATTAGCCTTTGCCACCAGAATAGATCCAGGCCTGAGCCTGCACATCTGTGCAGTCCCCCAAGCACACTCCATATGTTGGTTTCTAAATTTCTCTATTTTGATATTGAAATGTCTTAAATTTTGAATTAAATGTTCCAAATTCAAAACAAGCCAAGTCCATTATACAACTACAGCAAGTTTAGGAATAAAACTCACAAGTGTTCTCAATTCAATGGGTTGCCTAACTTAACAACAGCGGTATTGGTTATCATTGCTGATAGTGCACACAATTCTTACCTGTTAGTGTAAAAGTGGTTCTTCTGTTTTCTTCAGCCTGCTTCTTCAATATCTGAAACAAAAAAATCAAGATAATAAATTGGTAAGGACATGTACCAAAAAACACCTTTATAATGAAATAAACAAGAGAAATCAGTAGGATAGCTCAACTATTCTCAGTGCTTGATAATAAAACAAGAGCCTGGATAATGTAGAATTTTCTAAGTTCAGAAAGGGCCATAATTCTGTCCAAATCCATATTAGAGTTATGCTCTCAAATAAATATGTGAAGTTTCAACAAATTGCCTTCAGTAGTTTTGGAGATATCAACTTGCACAGAAAAAACTTAACCAAAGTATGACAGCCACTGACAGGGACCCCTGGTGGGTAAAATCAACTTACTGGTAGAGGTTTTCCAATGCTCACAAAAGAAAATTCTAAATCTGCTTGAATTGGAGCTATTTTTCTTCTTCTTACAGCCCTATAACATAAAAACACACTTTTGTAAAAGAAAAAACAACAACACACACACAATCACAAAAAAAAACAATACATGAACTTTTACAAAAGCTATTACTTATATACATATACAGAGCACTTCACCATTTTAGGGTTAAAAATACTTTTCTATGGAAATATTGGTATTTCAAATAGTTTATATCACCTGAAACTGATTTTTGTTGACAAGAGTAAAAATGATATTAATGAGTATAAAACCATGAAACAGACAATTATTATTACAGCCTCACACTGGAAACCTAGCATGATATAACGAACAGTAGTTGATTGGGACAACACTGTGATCATATACATTCATTTATTTATCAGTCTCCAATGTGTTCATACAATATCATTTACAATTCTTATTTCCTTGTTTTATAATAATTATTTCAATTTATGGTTATTCATTATTCTAATTGTATCCAAACTTCATTTACAACAGCACTAATATAAACAATCATGTATGTAATATTTAATGCATGAATCTATTAATGAGTGTACAATGGTGTAATTGACTCAAATGTAAATCAGTATCAAAGTCTCATCACACCAAAATTTGCTAAAATTATGATGTAAATTAGTCATTTTACAACAATAAATACTTAAAAATTAAGAACATGCACTCATCATATGGCGTTTTTTTGTTTGTCTTTTTTTTTTAATAAAAGAACTTACTTAGTGACAAGGAGTGTAGAATGTGCTTTAACAAGGTGACCAATCTCATAATGTGTTAAATAATACAAGAGCTCCCTTTCTGGTAGTTTACCCTACAAAATAAAATTAGTCATGACTTTACATACATATTTAAAAATACATATATCATTATCTTGCATTTTGCAAAACAAGAGGGCCATGAAGGCCCTGAAATCGCTCACCTGTATATAGGCCCCTGGGCCAATGCCAATTTTAAACCAGGGACTTTTATTTGAACAAACTTGGTAGACAGCCATTAGAAGATGTTTCATGATAAATATCTAAGCTCTAGCTCTTTGGGTTCTTTAAAAGAAGATTTTTTAAGTTTTTTCTTTCGGTTGCCATGGCAACCAGAGTTCTGCATGGAATTTAATTCTTTGAACACTTTTTTAAGGTGACCACCAAAGGAACATTCCTGTGAAGTTTGGATGAAATTGGCAAAGTGGTTTATGAGGAGATGTCGTTTAAAGTAAAAGTTTACGGACGGAAGCCGGACGAAAAGCGATCACAAAAGCTCACCATGTCACTTTGTGACAGGTGAGCTAAAAAAAAAACAACAAAAAAAAACCCCAACAAACACCCCCCCCCCCCCCAAAAAAAAAAGAAACCTCAACAATATTTTACAAAGATATTAAACACTTGTTTTAATGAGCTCTTATCAGGTTAATGTGTCCTACAAGTGTAAAAAACATGTAGTAAAAATACACATTATATTACAAACATAACAGCTTGTTAACAGGAAAATGTCAATGCATCAGAAAGCTGTCCTGCATTTTGTAGAATACTAGAGAGCCCTCGATAGTCTTGCTGTCTTGATATAAGATATGTTATATTCATTGTTGTTGTATTTTAAGTCACATCAACTCTGTTAAGGTGATATTGAAACTTTCCAACTTTTCTGGAATGGGAAGATGTCAGATACTCTTCTGTGCATTATTTCAGTGACAAATGGGCATCTAAGTAAAACTGACATTACTTAAGCTAGCTTGATATCTTCTTAATAAGATAGAATCCAAAACTCCTGACAGAATTCTACCCCATAGCAGTGATGGGGCAAGTAATATGAAGTCAGTCACCATAACCACTTGGTGACAGAGGCCCCAAAATCATTGTTAAATGTTAAACATAAGCAAATTGAGAAAAACAGACCTTGTGATATAACATACCTCAAGAAACAACAGATCTGCTAGTCTCTGGTAGGCCTGTTTGAATCTGTCACTCACTTCTACTGCAACAGACTGGAATATAAAATAATATAACTTACGGAACAAGCTATCAGGCTATACAGTAAAACATGTCTATAAATATTGGTCTCAAAAAACAAACAGAAACAGTAATCTTTGTGTAAAAAAAACGAATGGTCTTTGGAAAGAAAATACAAAACTTTGACATAATCATTTTACTTTATTATAGCATTTTACAGATGATTTCAGCATTTGAGTGTCAGATTCTAGAGATGATCACAGCATATGATAATTATTACATTTGTCTTATAAAAGAATATACCTTGCCAAACTCCCTCTGGCCGACAGCATCCCTGGCTTTTTTCACTAACCATTTCCGCAGTAGAAACTTTCCAAATGCAGACACAGGTGATTTTAACTGAGAGATTGCCTCCTCTAATGTTGGTAGATCCGTCTTTGTTTCTTCATATGCATGGGACTTCAATATTGACTGTAAAATTTTATTTACAAGTTTATGTGAACTGAGCAAACAGTCATAATATAAACTTCAGGCAAGTTCATTTCCTATTGCATTAATTCAAAATTGGAAATTTTTTGAAGTTTGTTCATTTAGGAGAGTTTCATTAATATGAACTCACATGACAGAGTTAATGTTAAATAGTTTAAACATTATTCATTTAACCCTTACCACGTTAAATATCTTACATCGAATTGTCAATCAATTTGAACAAAAGCATTCGTCATTTTAGGGAACAGTTTTAACAAATGTGCCGCGTCACGACAAAACCAACATAGTGCGTTTGCGACCAGCATGGATGCAGACCAGCCTGCGCATTCGCGCAATCTGATCAGGATCCATGCTTTCGCTATCAGTTTCTCTACTTGTAATAGGGTTTGTAAGCGAACAGTCATGGCGCGGCTCATATACTGACTGAATAGCAAACAGTGCTATCAATGATCATGCCAGCACTGATGGCATGGCTTTAATTTAGTTACAACCAGCAAAGTAAGGGTTTAAACACGGCTAATGAAACATTGTAGCTTATCTAGATCACTCACTAGTCCTTATACTTAAACATACTGGTTTCATATGAGGAATATTGGATTTGACCAGGATGAATAAGGCTTATGAGGCAGACACCTTAACCACTAGAGCATCTCTCCCCCTGTGACAAAGTTAAGGTGTGTATCTTGTAATTACTATACCTTTATCACTTTTGTCAATTTCTGTGGCTCTACTCTCCATGATTTCTCAGTAAATTCTGCTTCCCTGATACACCTATGTCCATGTCTTGCCATAAAATCCTTGTATAGACATTGTATCTCTGTAGGACATTCATTACTCGACAGATAGAGTACAGACTCATCATCAGACTTCTCCAGAAATTCTTTCTCTTTGCCCAATTTAATCATCATTCTTGCAATCTCCTGTAATTTTCAGTCAAATTCAGCATAATTTCTTAATGAACTTTTTACTACACAACAATAACAAGTACTTTAAATAATACATTAATTGTAATAGCTGCTTTGAATGGAACAATTGCAAGTTTTCTATTCTTACTGACAGAAAACCATAGAAAGTTGAAAACTACAGATGTCTGACTGAAAACCAGAGATGTCTGACTCAAAGCTATAGATGTCTTATCTAAAACAATAGATGTCTGAAAACTTTGGTACATACATTGTTTTAGGAACATCTACACAATCTACGATACAAGCGTTCTAAATCAAGGAAGAAGGTAAGATTATAAAGGTACATCATTTGTACTTATCATTTAACATATATTGTATACATTTGTAGTTGTATGACATGCTAACCTTCATGGCTTTAGGAACCTCTGCACTATATACGTTATTACACTGAGACAGCAACAAGGCCACATCACTGTAATTCTCTGTTGTCCATTCTAAAAATAGAAACAATAACACAGTTCCAATTTTTTGTTTGCTTGGTTATTATGCCTATTCAACACATTTTTTTAGTCATACCTCCATGGTCAGTCCACCTAATAGGCTTTCCTGGAAAACGAACCAGTAATTACAAATTTCTCTGACTTCTTATCCACATGATTTCTGATTTATTGATGAAAAATAATTGGCAATCAGACATTTCCTCAAAATCAATTGTCACAGGGAAATTTCTAGGATCACAAAGGGACCCCTGGATTACAATAACAATGTTCTCCTTCTCCCTATTGAGCTATGCAGGCACATGTCTTACAAATTTCCATAGATATATATATATATAGTCAGTTTGCATCCACAGTAGTGTAATCACTTAAACTGTTAATGTTTGAAAGTATATGTTTACTTAGAAGAAATTCCTCCCCCCAACTCCACAAGAAATTCATATAGAAAGGATTTAATAAATAAAACATAATTGAGCCGTGTCACGACAAAACCAATATAGTGTGTTTGCGACCAGCATGGATCCAGACCAGACTGCGCATCCGCGCAGTCTTATCAGGGTCAATGCTGTTCGCTTACCAACCCTATTACAAGTAGAGAAACTGATAGTGAACAGCATGGATCCTGATCAGACTGCGCAGATGTGCAGGCTGGTCTGCATCCATGCTGGTCGCAAAAGCACTATGTTAGTTTTGTCGTGACGCGACTCATATTAATATACCATCTTTTCCCCCAGATATAATACCCATGATTATACCACCATAGGTACCACTCCTAGCACTTTTATGAATAGTAGTTTCCCATATCTGAAAATAAATAAGTAAAACTAAGCAACATGGGAAAAAATGCAATGCATTAACCATCAGATTTGAGTCAGAGCAAACTGTTTAGTCTGTCTGAGCTCTAGACAGTAAAGTAATCAACATTTGAATTTTTTATCATGAAATCCCTGAATTGATAATGAATTGTTAATTAAGAAAAATCATGCTTTTAAAGATTTTATTCAAAATCCATAACAGAATTATCAGTTTGCACAGTTGCTTCAAATCATGATTCATAAATCATGCAGGTTTCAAGAATATATATGAGATATGAAGTTGCATGAAAAATTGAAACAAGAAATGTCAAACGACACATATGCCCCTCTTTCTAGCCCTTGACTCACTTTATTGGCAATTTTGTTATAGAAACTTGCAATAAATGGGTACATGGAAGTGTTCAGTTATGGAAAAAAATAATAATAACCGACTAGTTACAACCAATCAATATGTTATAGGTTAAGATACAAATCATATTATTCACCTCGTAGTAGTCAGGAAGTTGTCTATCTATGGCCTGGTACAGGTTATCAGCAGTATCACAATCAGCACCCACTGTGTATGTTTTTAATTTTTCTGGCCAACTATCGGCAATCTTTATCTTCTTGTTACTTACCTGATGTAAAAATAATCATGTACATTGGTACATTCTTGTTAACTGATATGTCACAATCATATATTCATAATGTACTCATGTATATATAATAGGAAACATTAAATTATGTATGAAATGTATGTAAAAAGGCTAATCACAATGATATAATTAATATATAAAGTATTTGGTTTCAATGTTCTTAAGATAACCATTCAAATTATCTTCAATGCTCATGCAACAAAAGAAAAAATTTAAGCATGTAATTTTGAAGAAAAAACAAGCAATCATTATTTAGAAACTGTAAAAAGGTTAGCTTTAACCAAAATGCATTCTAATTTTCAATAACATAGAAACATTTGTTTATCTTTATCAATGCCATTCACAATTCAGAAATAAAATGAAAATGGCATAATTCTGCAGCAAATTTATCAATCTCATCTATAGCTTGCACTTGAACTCTGTGGAAATGTCGTACATAAAAATGTACCATTATGATATTCAATCTATCAACTGACTAAAAGTAGGTTGTAGGTTCTAATTTTCTAAACAGATGTAATGAGGGAGCATCTGTATTAAATACCATTATGTGTTTAGGCAACATAAAATCAAACAAAATAAGTTCCATTAAATGTAATGCAAGTCACATAACATGGGTATTCAAGTATCATTTTAACACTAATACAAGGTTAAAAGCAATAGGCCACCAGATTAGCGTTAATATTAACCAAAACTTCCAAATTGTGTTAAAAATTAAACATTGTCAAGTGTACAAATTAAACGATTTCTTGTAGTGTAAGGAGCTTATTATCCACAAAAATTACACAGAAATTTCCCTTCTTCCAGAGTAGTTAGTAAGACAGTCAGTTGAATCTTTGTGATAAAAAAATAGTAAATTATATTTTAAATTTGCATATTTAAGTAAAAGTTTTACTTTGATTGTAAATTTATACATTTCTTAAACTATAGGTATAGCTTTCATAAATTTGATTTTTCTTTGAAGATTTATTTTACTTATCTGGAAACATGCTACAAGAAGATATAGTGTGAAAAAAAAGAAGAGTCATATCCAAATATAATACAATCAGCTGGACAGAGACCTAACTTAACTAGAACTATCACTAAATGTGATTAATACCCCCACAAGACTGCTTCGGAAATGAGGATGTTACTAGTAACAGAATACCTTGTAAAAGAATTGAAATATAGAGTTATGGTTGTGGGCAATTAAAGATAGTTGTGGTTCTTATATGTTGCATTTCCTTTCAATGTGGTTGGCCATTGATGAAGTTTTATTGAATTACTGTGTAATAAGTCCAGAAAGATAAAGAAAAGGAACAAAGGGCAATGACTCTATAAATACTGAAGATAGAGTTATAGTTCTTGTGCGCTGCACTTCCTCTTATTGTGCTTGATCATTGTATGAAGTTGTTTTGAATTCCAACCAGTACGTTTTAAGTTATGCTCCTGACAAGGAAAAGTATCAAAGGGCAGTAACTCTGTATTTTGTCAAAATAAAGTTATGGCTCTTGTGCACTGCACTTCCTTTTGATGTCATTGACAACTGTATGAAGTTGTATTGAATTCCAAACAGTAGTTTTCAAGTCATGCTCTGGACAAGGAAAAGTAACAAAGGGCAAAAACCCTGTAATTAGTCAAGATGGAGTTATGGTTCTTGTGCACTGCACTTTCTCTCAATGTGCTTGACCATTGTATGAAGTTATATTGAATTCCAACCATTAGTCTTCAAGTTATGGTCCGGACAAAAAAGGCAATGAAAAAGCAAGAAAGGGCTATAACTATGTAATTACTTTAGATAGAGTTATGGTTCTTGTGCACTGCACTTCCCCTTATTGTGTTTGACAATTGTATGAAGTTGTTTTGAATTCCAACCAGTTGTTTTCAAGTTATGCCATGGACAAGGAAAAGTAACAAAGGGCAATAACTCTGTTATTAGTCAAGAAAGAGTTATGGTTCTTATGCACTGCACTTCCTCTCAATGTGCTTGACCATTGTATGCAGTTATATTGAAATCCAAACATTAGTCTTCAAGTTATGGTCCGGACAAAAAAAATCAATGGAAAAGTAACAAAGGGCAATAACTCTGTAATTACTTTAGATAGAGTTATGGTTCTTGTGCACTGCACTTCCCCTTATTGTGTTTGACAATTGTATGAAGTTGTTTTGAATTCCAACCAGTTGTTTTCAAATTATACCCCGGACAAGGAAAAGTAACAAAGGGCAATAACTCTGTAATTAGTCAAGATAGAGTTATGGTTCTTATGCACTGCACTTCCTCTCAATGTGCTTGACCATTGTATGTAGTTATAATGAATTCAAACTATTAGTCTTCAAGTTATGGTCAGGACAAAAAAAGCATTGGAAAAGCAACAAAGGGCAATAACTCTGTAATTACTTTAGATAGAGTTATGGTTCTTGTGCACTGCACTTCCCCTTATTGTGTTTGACAATTGTATGAAGTTGTTTTGAATTCTAACCCGTAGTTTTCAAGTTATGCCCCGGACAAGGAAAAGTAACAAAGGGCAATAACTCTGTAATTAGTCAAGATAGAGTTATGGTTCTTGTGCTTCCTCTCAATGTGCTTGACCATTGTATGTAGTTATAATGAATTCAAACTATTAGTCTTCAAGTTATGGTCCGGACAAAAAAAAAGCATTGGAAAAGCAACAAAGGGCAATAACTCTGTAATTACTTTAGATAGAGTTATGGTTCTTGTGCACTGCACTTCCCCTTATTGTGTTTGACAATTGTATGAAGTTGTTTTGAATTCTAACCAGTAGTTTTCAAGTTATGCCCCGGACAAGGAAAAGTAACAAAGGGCAATAACTCTGTAATTAGTCAAGATAGAGTTATGGTTCTTGTACACTGCACTTCCTCTCAATGTGCTTGACCATTGTATGTAGTTATATTGAATTTTAACCATTAGTCTTCAAGTTATGCTCCGGACAAGGAAAATGCAAAGGACGTCTGGACCGACCGACCGCCTGCCTGCCCGACCAACCAACCGACCGACCGACCACCGGGTGACACCTATATACCCCCCCCAAACTTTGTTTTTGGGGGTATAATTAAAAGTAAAGAAATTAGAAATATAATTACAAACAACATGTTTTATTATAACAAAGCTGTAGAAAATGGACATCATTAGTATACTATATGTGTAGAAATAACCGCGGGGGCCAAATTTTTGAGATCTTCACGGTGACATTTAATCCGTGAATTCTTGTTTAGCGCAAATATTTCTACACCAATAATTTCTTTATATTATCATATTTTCGCGCTTCAATAGAAAAATGTATATCAGCATGTTACTATAATAGTGGTTAATTTTGCGATGTGGAAATATTTGCAATTTTTGGGATGAAAAATTTTGATCATGCAAAAATTATTTCTTTTTAGGCAAACTTCTTCTATCATTTGAAAACACCTTTTCATGCAGCTTACATGAAAAAATTTGACTGTTCAGGTACAGAGGTTTATCTTTCTCATTGCTTGTGTCTAAACAAATCACACATATTGTAATGAAACAATATATGTGTTAATAACATTATAGCTTATTCATATACAGTGGAACCTGTCTAATCCGAACTCGTCCGGACCAGAAGAAAAATTTATTAGAAAGGTTTCCAGATTAGAAGGTTTTTTACATGTTTGTTCATGTAATTGGCAGAATAGTTTAAGGAAAGTAAATGGGAATGCATTTGAAATTGCAATATTGATATTTTAATTTTGAAATCTCTTATCGTTCATTTAAATACATGTGAATACAAAAATAAATTAAAAAAAAATAAATAAATAAGCAAAAATGTTATATCCTCCAGGGTAAGTTAATCTACAATGTTAAACAGAAGGCTGGGAGAGATTAAATTATTTGTACCAGCATTAATTTTGTCAATTGTTGTTTACTCTTATCCGATTCAGTGATAATCCGAATTCACTGACAGTTTCCATTAATTTTCATTACCTTTACCTTTTACCTTCTCCTTCTTCTGAGCATTTAAGCCAAGATGGCTTGTAAGCTCCTCCTATACAGTATTATCAAGATAACTTCAGTAAGTGTCACTTGTATTAAATCTTTCACTTTGCCAGCTCCGGTCGAGTAAAGTTACTAAATCACATGTCATTAAATTCATTACAAAGGATTAAAAAGATATTTCTATTACATTATATCAAAATATTTATTGAAGGTGACTAAAAACAATCAATTAAGCAATTATAATAGATATCAAGGCAAGCTAAGTGTAATTTGCATATTAAAATTAAGGTTTTCAGCCATTAATCAAGCGAAATTACTCTTGTCAGTTTGGTGTATGTTTACACCTGCAAGATGTGCGATTTTTTTGTTATTTTGAATGTAGATGTGAGATTTAGCAAAATCTGTTCGGATCCAAGAAGTTAATTTTAGAGTAAATTAAGGGCAAACATTGAAAAAATCGTCCGGAATTTGGACTAGTCAGGGACCGGATCCTAAAGGTTTTTTAGTATTGAAAATAGAACGAAAAAAATCGGGACCGGACACTTCGTTCGGATAAGAAAGGATTCCGGATTAGAAGGGTTCATATTAGTAAGGCTCCACTGTACAAAAGAATGTTTCAAAATATGACAAAGAAATTTGTGAACAGGTCCTTTATCAAACTAACAATGTATATTTCAAACAATTATATAAATAATAAAGGTATTAAACAACTGAATAGAGCGATTACAATAATGACATATTCTTAACATGTACCTGCTTTATCAATGATATCACAAAATCTGTATTAAATGCAAGAAATCATACATTCATAAATATTTCCTCACGCAAAAAGTCCACTTTTTGAAATTGGCATAATTTTTGTGACGCATGAATATCTACTTATGAGTGAATATTATGATACTACAAGCAATATGATACAAACAAATATATCTGTCATAATGGACCTTTCCGTGTTTACAGTTTTTTAATTGGCTAACTTGTTATCCAATCGCTACACATAGATAATACATAGTCACTTAGGTTGACCTGGTTTGCACAAAAGAAAACATGGTTATGTTTGTGATACTGTTTGTGAGCAGTTGACCTAGCAATGAATGGAAAAGTGGTGGCTAAATGTTCCGCTACGAAAAACTGGAAAGGTCCATATCAGTTCAATTTAACCCCGGATTTCCTTTTTTCATTTCACCGTTAGCCAGCTGGCAGCCAGAGATTTCACCTATAACGTCACCTTGGCGCAAAAAGTACTGTAACTGACATTTTTGAAATTTTACAGGAGACACAAAAAACTGATTTGTTCATTTTGAGTAAACCCTTTTAATTCCTGACAATAATGTTGAAATATCATTAATAAGTATTATTAAATTGGTTTTAAACATTACAATGATTCATTTATGGGTAAAAAGAAATTAGACATTCTTCTTCACTTACATGACTTTTTGCACTGTGATTTTCAACGCAAAAAGTGATGTAAGTGCACTTACCATAGTTTTTGCACTAACTTTAATTTCAAGTATCGAAGTTACTGCATTGCATAGTCATTGAAAAATGTTTATTACAATCAAATTAATTGTAAGGTTTGTTTAAAATAGGTCTTTGTGGATTATGAACCACATTTAATACATTAAACATATGAAAGGAAGTTTAAAAACTGACTATTTTAAAATTAATTTTAAACAGTTACAGTAAATCCAAAGCAGTGTATTTTTTTTAATTTCAAAGTAAATGTAAGCATTAATCACAACAAAATTACATGAAAACTGCAGACTTACTTGATTAAGTCTGTACATGAGCAATAATGAAAAGTGCAACATCCCTCATGCCCCCTAGCACCGACTTAAGCTGTACTCGATTTTCAACACTTAAAAGTGCTGGAATCAATCATTACAGAGGACCAGAAAAAACATAACAACACTGAAGTGAAGATTAACCATGTTTTTTACTGTTGTCATTTTCTAATTTGTTATAAAAAGGGGCATTTAGAGATCTATATATCATAATATCTCAATAATATCCAACCATCACAGGGACATAGACTTTGAGATTTTGGATAAAACCACTAGGAATCTTGAACTTTTCTGAACATTTTTGTTGGATGTAGTCGAGATTTTGGATGAACCTGCTAAGAATCCTAAACTTTTCTTGTCCAACATATCCCAGTGAGATCCTTTTATAATTATCTCTCATGAACAGACTTTAATTTTTATAAATAATTTTGTTTCCATTGCTTCTTCTTTTCAAAATTTTGATATATTGAATTCAAATTGTCTTATTGCCTGCCACTAAACTTTAAAAATTATACGTCATATCACTATCATGGTTTTATAGCTTTGATTTTATATAAAAATTCAGATTAATTTCTGTGACATAATGTGGTTTGGGTATTTGAAAATTCAGATTTTCTGTTTATTAAAGTGTTTTACATGCATTACATAGAGAATGAACTGAGTCATTCTAATTTTTGATAATAGACCCCATTCTATATGTATAAATGTATGGGAGTTGTAGATGCACCACATTAGACTTAACATACTAGCAATTATGGTTTTGACCAATATATTATTGAAACAGATTACATGTCTTTGTCTGCCATGTTTTTATAGAAATTAAAATATAAAAGAAAAACCAATGTTAGCAACTGTTTCTTTCCAGGGCTATAAACAGTGAAATTGCAGTTAAATTTTTATAATACAGTTGTCCTTATATAATACAATAAGAATGTAAATCTTTTAAGCAAGTTTTATCTTTTTTTTATGATAAATAATTGAGTAAACAATTGAAAAAAAAAATACTTAGAGCTTTCATCAATAGAAATGATATTGATGTGTATTGTTGATAATTTTTTGTTGATCAGTACACATTTTAGAAAATCGATATCATAATTTTGATTTAATAATTGAATATCTAGAAATTATGAAAACTCAACCAAAACATAATTATGCAGAAGCATATTTCATGGCAGTGATAACAAAAAATTGTTAGCAAAAATCATGCAATGGTCATTTGTTTGAAACAGGACACATTTATGAAAAGACCATGTTTTTACGGAAAGCATTTAAACAATTATGGAAAAGAATTAAGAGACAAGTAGTACGTAATTATCAATAAATCTGTGTATCATTAAAAAATTTTCATCTTAAATTAAATTTCGTTTTCCACCGAATCAATGACAGCTCTTATATTACTTGAATCATTTAAAAATATCAACAAAATTTGAATACTGAAATATTCCTAAGCTATATTGTTTGTTGTTAAATTAAAACAAAACACTTTCTATAAATGTTAGTTTCCTAAAGTAGATTTATATATAAAATTTGTATTTTAGAAATAATTTTGCTATTTATTAATGCAGTAGTGAAATATTTTAATGCAGTTACAATACTTTTTGCATATTTTAAAATTTACCCTAAAAATAATGAAATGGCTTTGACAAATTTTAAGATGGACAAGTCCATATAAAGTATTTAATATGGTAAGTGTTAAAATTATTTGTCCCTAAAACTTATATTTTCATGTAAGAGCAATAACAGCTATGGGTAAAATAGAGTAATGCATTTTTAGTGCTTAATTATGAGTAAATTGAAACAAAAGCCATCTATTTATATCCTAGGTACAATTTGTTTATTTGTTAGAAAAGCCATACTGTGTGAGAATACAATTTTGTCATCAAGTAAGAGGGATGTGTGTGTGTGTGTATTTGCGCTTATTTATACTCGCCACCGGTTGCCCATATGGGCGAGTCCTCCAGAAGAGTATTAGTCATTTTATTTTTCGGAGGATAGTGCAATTACAGATACAGAAAGATGCCCCAATTCCAGAAGCTTCTCCTGGTTCTTTAGCGTGCCAAGTGTTAAAGCACCCATACACGGGACCTCGATTTAAAGTCTCATCCGAAAGACTGATTAGTAATTTTTAGTTGGCCAGCCCGGGAATCGAACCCACAATGTCGAGATTACAAGTCTCGCGCTCTAACCGATTGAGCTATGCGGGCTGGCGAAGTAAGAGGGAATATAGTTTTCATGCTTTTATAGTTCTTTCCTTAAACTTACAGGTATCCATCGCAACACTTGTAACACAGATGGTTTTTTCTTACGACTATACAAGCTTATGAAATCCATAGTATGGTCTGCTAAAATTTTACCGATCAAATTTGTCTCCAGAGCATTTTTGGATCCTATGGCTGACCCATTCCCTATGTTAGCTTGGTACTGTAATTAAAACATCAGCATGAAAAGAAAAAAAACGAACAAAAAACAACCTCAGATAACAACCCTTTGCAAGGTGAACATTGTTTCTATGCTCTTGTTGCAAGGACAAATGAAGTGTGTCAGTGAACCTACTTACCTCTTGTATCATATAAAGACTGAAACAGATTGATTAAAAAGTGTTAATGTGAAACAAGACTATGACTACCTGGAACTTGGAACATATGCAGGATTAAATTAGAATTAGATCAGGAGACAAGTATAAGTGAGGGGGGAAACTAGATTAGCATCAAAATTACAAGGGGAAAAGTTTTGAAAAAACAACAACAACATCAAACCAAAATACTGGGACTGAAAGAATGTTCAGCTAAAAATAAGGTATTTGAGTAAAGAATCATGAAAATCAGACACTAAAATCAAAAATTCAAGCAATGAATTGGAAGATAACAATGAATAGAATCAAGTTAAAGAAGAACAAAACTATCCTTAAAGATCTTTCACCACAACATTATTTTTGTGTTTGTGGTATTTTAGTTCTTTCAATTTGGCTTTGTCTACTAGTCTTAGGTGGTTCCAGTATTCTTAACTTGAATACTGTATAATTGCCTTTAGGTTATGTGGCCTGCTTTTAAAATTGGTCCTATGACAGTTTTATCTGTGATCCCCTTTCAAAATTCCATTTTGTTTAGTGCCGCTCACTGTTTTCTCGTTTAGGGTAAAAGCATTTTTTTTACTTGGGGACCATACAACGCTTTTCATGGAATGGCACGGAAGTGCCACATTGAATGTCTCATGATAACCTTCGTATGAACACATCTGTTTATGTTTCTTAATTCAAACTTTAACATAACATGTTTAAATGTTGAATACTTCTTAAGCCAGTGCTAGGGGGACAAGGACAGTAGTTTGCACTTTCCAGTAATATACACGAACAGGCTCAATCAAACCAAGCCTGCAACATTTTCAATTTTGCCATTTTGGATTTCTTTGAGGATTCTATCTCTCTACTCTAATACAAGAAATAAAATAAGCACTAAACAAGACAATCATACAAGATCTATTTAAACTATAATTGAATTAGGAGGGAAGGGTATAGATTCAAAACATTACTAACAAACACATGCAAGCAGGAAGTGAGGTAAATAAGGTTCTTTTCACACAATGTGAACATGAGGATATGAAATGGAATTCTGCTACAACAACCTTCCTGTATCATACTTACTGAGAAAAAATTATACACTATATAACACCTTGCAAAAAAGTTTTTAACTTCACGTCCGTAAGTTTTTATCATAGACTCTTTATGGTCATCTAAAACCTGTCCTAGCAGGTTCATCTCTAGAGCACTTTTTTTATGTAGTAAAGAATTTCCATACACTTGACCTATCCACTGGAAAAACAAGTAGTATATACTATTCTTGAATGATATTCATCAATTTTGAAATTCACATTGCTTTATTTTACTTGGATCATTTTTGCCTTGGCAAAATGAAAAATACTAGCATCAGAAATTAGAACATACAACCATAAGAAGTTAAATTATATAAAATGTTTGTTGGTTTGGTTTTTATACTTATTTTAACACATTTTTGGTCATATCAAATAAACCCCTTCCTTTTTAAAAGTTGTCAATAGGGCAGTGTGCTTGACTATTCTTAGTGCTTGACAGTCAAACAAGAGCCTGAATGCTGCAGAATATTTTGAAAACTGCAGAATATTTTTCAGTCCAAAAAGGGTCAAAAGTCAAAATTGCAACAATTCAATGTTAGAGTAATGGGCCTCAAAAGAGTGTGATGTTTCAACCAATTCCCCTAAGTAGTTTTGGAGATACCTGAGTTTGCATGCAAAAAACTTAATGAAAGTATGATGGCGACATGAAAGCTGACACCAATGCTATGGTGATAACTTTTCTTCAAATAACTGACCTACAAAAATTTACCTTAAAGATCTAGCTCTGAAAAACATTATATTCAATAATCACAATCTTTCTAAAGCTTGGGTTATATCATATCCAATAAATAAACAAGTAAAATAACGATAACAATGACATCAGTGAATAGCAATTATACCAGGTGAAACTATCCTAAAATAAGGAATAGAAAGAGTGAAAATGAAGTGACAGTTGCCCACCATTTTGTTACTAAATAAATTAACAATTCTTATTCTTATAGAGGTAAGTAGTCTTTAGAAGGTAATTGTTCCAATGTATATATAAGATTACATAAAAACTGTGACATCCAATTAAAAATTAATAAATTTATTTGCATCATCATGATTTTAATACATTTTAAAAGTCATACAATAAAAAATATATTCTACTTACAGTCAAATTGATGAAAAGTCTCCCACAAGAAACAGAAATACTTTTTAGTGCATTCTTAATCACAGTTCCACCTCCAAAATCTATACCAACAACCTGTGAACATAAAATAATTTAGTAATCCATCTAAACCAAATACAATTTACGAAAGATTACCAGACCTGTTTACCCCATTAATGTCCGGTCAGTAGTCGGAAAGTAGTTTTAGACACTTGTCAGTAGTTTTTAGACCCCAGATTTACAATCACACTTGGTCACTAAATAAAGTCAAAATTGACAACAGGAAACAGTTTGACGGTAGCTGATTTCTTGCGTTTTACCGGCGATTCCTCGCCTGCGGGGCCGCTCAATTATTGGACAGTGCTCAATTAATAGAAAGAGTACAAATTTCCGTAGAATTTTCGTTATTAATTTGTAGTGCGTAGTTTATGCGGCGAATCCGTAGGAAATATGGACAATCCATAGAAGTTAACACGTCTGGATTATTTCTGGATTTTAGGGAAGTAACCAAGTGGTTGTGTGGCATCACAATCAAGTAGTTGATGCATGGGGCAAGTAATCTCAGGATTGCTGTCCATATAGGTTCAAACCCCACCGGTGGCAAGCCGTTGCTACCTTGAGCTAGAAACTTTAAACGTATATTCTCAATTCTGGTTAAATCCAGGAACAGATTCAGCTTATAGCTTTCTACATTCTATAAATAAAATCTGTATAAACTAAACAAGTAATTATCTATATTTTCAAAGTTTCACAAATATCAACTGATAAAGTAATGAAGACCAAAGAAACAAGAAACCATAGGTCACAAGCAACTATCCTACCTAGCCGCTAAATGTAGGCAAATGTCTTCATAAATATTTGAACTAAAATTATCACTTTGACCTTGACCTTTGTTCAAACGGATCCAAAACTGGCACAGGAAATTATTTTTTTAAAGTATGTCATCTTGAATTGAAGGTCTTTACTGATTATTAAACAGAAACAATTTTCAGCTTTAAGGTAGAAATAACATTGAATATAGACAGTCATTCCAATTTCAGTGACATCAATTGGTTCTCCATTTAATAAACCTCAAATATCTTAAATGGGACTTGTCCATCTTTAAATCTAAACAAAACCATTCATCAAATTTCTAAATAAGTTCTGACTTAATAGCAAACAATGCAGACCATGATCCGACAGTTACCAGCAGTTAGCTAACCTAACGGCTCCCTGCACAAGAAGTGTTCAACTATTGACAGACTGACATTACAACCAACATAAGTATAAAAGTGTATCCTCTCTCCACTTTGTAGAGTGACATATTAAATTTTGGCAGCAAAGATATATGATATGAAATATGAAGAATTTTAACTCTTACACTGGTTGCCCTGTCAACAGCTCGTCCAAACAAGGAACCAGTCAGTGGAGTAACAATGCCGGGCATCATTTCACTGAAATATTACATATACATGTACTGTAACAATATTTAAGTCAAACTATTAAAAGAGATTGTAAAACTAAATATTATGAATACATTGATGTAAAACCATGTTTCTTATAATTTATTATGATTATATGACTTATTTCTTCGTAAGAAATGTTGAGGTGGAATTTTAAAGATTTTCTTTACAACGTGACTTATTAAAATTATCAAAAGATTTCTATTTTACTTAAAATTTTAAAAGACCTGCTCCTATCCATCTACTAAGCACTGATCATTCAGCATGATATCCTGGAGATGTCTCATAATAATCATGATAATTCATAATACAAAAATCTTCAGAAATCCACCACATGATCATGGTATGCACTGGTCACATGGTTACATTTTGTAGCCTGCAGTAGGCTAGGGGTTAAAAATTGCAACGGACTGTTCCAATTTTCAAGTTTGGCAAGTTCATTTTAAACATAGGTTAAAGAACAACATATGACAAGAGTTTTGATGAACATTTTCCTTTCTTTAAAGTCACAAATGAAACAGTTGTCATAGCAACCATTTTATCTGCTGTCAGAGTCAAATTGTATATGATTAATGAAAAGCTTAAAATGATTCAAACAATAACAATGGAAATAAAGAAAAAAAGAAAACATTTGATTGATGAAATTTCATATTATATTCATATTATTACCCAATATTTCCAAGAGTAAGTCTTTCTTGCCCTGTAGGTTGGGGTGTGTCAAACTCATGTATTAAATCAAAATCAGTGTCCTGTCCAGTTGTTGTAATTGGTCTGGCCTGAAAATCAAGGACATGTATAAAATATAAATTTTTCTTTTTTTCTGACTCCTTCATTATTTTTTTAATGATGTAAAAATTATTATATATTAGCTAAAATTTTAAGATTATTACAAGTTTTATAACAGTTTTATATAACTATATACATAGCAAATATTCTAATGTAGATAAGACATTTTGATAATGTTTCTGTCACACATGCTTATTGATATGTAGAGGATATTGAATGAAGGTAGATTTAATACTGAATTTATTTAACAAGTTTGATCAAATCATTTTATGCAATCCTAAGGTGAAGATAATACTGGTTTTTTTTCCCAATAAATTGAACAAATTTAGTATTAAATCTACACAATAATAATATTTTATTTACCACATATCCGAAATTAAGATCGGTTTACAGTTCATTGATGCACCTTTAATGTAATGCTAACATTAACAGACTTTTATCCGATGTATATATATGACAAAATGATGTCACATCCAATTGTTACTACACTTGTGTAATATTGTTTTTATTTAACAACTTAATTACACCTCTGTGCCATAATTTATGTGATAAATTGTATATATACTTTAGAAATAATTAAGACAGATAGGTAAGCAAATTAATAGAAAATTCCTGCACAAAAAGTGTTATATGTTACCATACCTGGTTACAATCAATAAATTACCTGTAGAAGATAGATTTCATCTTCATATATGGCCCATTCTATGTCTCGTGGGCTTCCAAAATATGTCTCCACCTAATAAACATAAAAAATATTAAATAAGACCCATTTAAAAATAAGTTAACCCTGTTGAATCTTTATAAAGGACATGTGCTTGTCCCGATTTGACACTATATATCTCGTGGACTTCCAAAATATGTCTCCACCTAAAATATACATAACCCATTTAAAGATAAGTTAATCCTGCTGAATTTTTATAAAGGACGGGTGCTTGTCCTGATTTGACACTGGAACTGACCATTGTGTACATGGCTTCTCTCAGAAGTGACGATATTAATGTTGAATATTAATGTTGACTGGTCTATCTATATAGTGATCTTTATTTTTAGTAATTAACCCTTCACCTGCTGGAAACATAAGTGATTATCATTTTGTCACCGGTAAAGAGCCAGTCCATCCTACACATATGTGCTGTCCAACAAGGCTTCATAACAGTATCTCAATTTCAGTATTTAGATATTGAAATCCCCTAAACTTTGGAATGTACCAAATTCAAGCTGGGATATTACCATATCTCCCACTGCCATTTCGGCATGGAATAATATTTTAATTTATTTTAAAGAGAATTGTTGAAAAAAACTTAAACAAGAGCACCGCTAGGCGGAGCATTATACAGTAGAACTTCGGTAAGTCGAAGTTGGAGGGACTTGCGTAAAAACTTCGACACATCGGGACTTCGACACATGAATCGGTCTGAATTTCATAACAAAAATTCAACCCGTGACTTGCCCTAATTATAAGATCTATAACATAACCTATTTCAAGTATTTCTTTCGTTCATTAATCTGATATTTTACAATGATAAATATGACAGTTAACTTTTCACGGCTAATGATTTTGACTCCCTGTTGACGTATAAAATGAAGTTACAAAAGGCGTAACAATACGAAAGGGCAATAACTAAACCAGCTTATAGTAAATATTTTGCGTGTGATTATCACGCGACACCGGGTCTCGTAAGTACTCAAATGATAGTTCTTACTGTTTACATGTTCTTTCAAATACCGCTACGGCAATTAAAATAGTAGTGATTAAAGCACTTTTTCACACATTTAAATGCATACAAAGGCTGTTTGAACACTCGGCTGTGTAATTTTCACCTGTCACTAAAGTTGATCGGAAATCGTCTTCGCGGCCAGAAAAGGTGTGAAAATGTCTCGAGATCGAAGGTGTCAAAATAACCGAATAACTTCGACTTATTTGTGGTAAATTGTACTAGATTTATTCTATATGGACCACGAAAAAACTTCGACACATCGAAAAACTCGACACATAAAATCTCGACTCATAGATAGGTTTTTATAAGGAATATGTAAGGGAAAAATCGGGACTTTCATTTTACTTCGACACATCGAGAAAATCGACTTATTGAAGTTCGACTCATAGAAGTTCTACTGTATGCCCGAAAGTGATTTTTTTTTTTAGTAAAGATGAAGCATTTGTAAGACATGGGAATTAAATAAAGTATTACCTCCTTCAAATAACAATCCTCCTTTGAAGTTTCAATATTGTGGTCCAAAAGGAACTTTAAGTTATGCCCCAGAAACTGTTTTCAATTATAAGGTAAAAGTGACCTTGACCTTTGACCTTGTGACCCCAAAATCATTAGGGGTCTTCTACCCAATATGGACAATCATACTATGAAGTTTAAACACAGTAGGCCAAATGATACTTAAGTTATGTTCCGGAAACTGTTTTCAGTTTTAAGGTAATAGTGACCTTGACCTTTGACCTTATGACCCCAAAATCAATAGGGGTCTTCTACCCAATATGGACAATCATCCTATGAAGTTTGAATATTGTTGGCCAAATGGAACTTAAGTTATACTCAGGAAACCAAATTGCTAACGGACGGACGGACAGACGGACGGACGTTCGGCCGAAATGGAATAAGGGGCCAATTCTTTTGTTATTTTCTATTGTTTAATAGAGGGCCAATGGCCCCTTACTCTATTGTTACGGAATGAACTCTATTGTTCTCTTTTGCTCTGTTTACAGTAAGATGGCCCCCTATCCTTATTCGGTAGTGCGGACTGACGGACAGACGGACGGACGCCAGAGGGTATAACATAATATGTCCGAAATTCTTTCGGGCATATAAAAAATTACTCTGGCAATAACATGTTTGTCTGAAATATCAAAATCTAAAAACATTCTAAAACATCAAAAATTGATTTTCCTAAATGTTTTACTTTACCTTAATTGCAAGTTGACACAACTGGATAATTTGTTCATCTTCCAAGCAGCACAGACTTGTTGATCCCATATCAGTTTCTACTGATTTTACACCACCTTTATCTGTTAAATATATAAACTTGGCTATTCATATTTGTTAAGTTGTTCTGCCGACATTGTTGATTTCATAGGAAAATTTACTATACAGTCAGGACTCATTACAATGACACTGTTGGTTCCCAAAGGATAAGTCAGTATATCGAATTTGTCAGTATAGTGAATTTCATCATTCATCATGTAATAATATGCTTATTCACTGGTATCTGAACATTATGTATTTAGATCTATAATAAACATCTATAATGAAAAAGATTTGTGTGTTTATGTGTTCACTTTACTATACACATTACATATTATACACATAATTCAACAACTTTATTAAAATAATAACAACTAAAATAGTTAACAAGAGCTGTCACAGGAGACAGCCAAGCTCGACTAATAAAATACTGGACGCAGTAAAGAGGACAAAACTATGAAAGAAAAACCAATTATGTATAACTATGTATTAAGTTATAGTAAAAAAATATCATTTGTTATCATAAATTCCAATTAAAATGCTAGAGTTATGAACCTTGTCACACAACATGTGTGTAATGATAAGAAATATATATTTGAAGTTTGAAGTAGATACCTTAAAAAGTAAACAAGTTATGATATTTCTTAAAGAAAATCCTAAGTTCAAAGAAAGATAAATCTGTAAATATTACTTCAAGAGTTACAAGCATTGTCACATAAAATGTAATTGATGATAAGGAATACGTATTTGAAGTTTGAGGTAGATACTTTTAAAACTAAAAAAGTTGTAGTAAAAAATAACATTTTTCTAGTAAAAAAATCTAAGTTTATGGGGAGATAATTCTTGCAATATTAGTGCTAGAGTTATGAACCTTGTCACATAAGATGTGGATGATGATAAGTTACATTTATTTGAAGTATGAAGTTGATCCCTTTATAAATAAATAAGTAACAGTAAAAAATAATATTTTTTAAGGAAAATTCTAAGTTCAAGGGGAGATAAATCTGAAAAAAATGGTGCTAGAGTTATGAACCTTGTCACATAAGATGGGGATGATGATAAGGTACATATATTTGAAGTATGAGGTTGATCCCTTAAGAAATAAAGAAGTAACAGTAAAAAATAGTATTTTTTGAGGAAAATTCTAAGTTCAAGGGGAGATAAATCTGAAAATATTTGTGCTAGAGTTATGAACCTTGTCACATAAGATGGGGATGATGATAAGGTACATATATTTGAAGTATGGGGTTGATCCCTTAAGAAATAAAGAAGTAACAGTAAAAAATAGTATTTTTTAAGGAAAATTCTAAGTTCAAGGGGAGATAAATCTGAAAATATTGATGCTAGAGTTATGAACCTTATCACATAAGATGTGGTTGATGATAAGGAACATATATTTGAAGTTTGAAGTTGATACCTTAAGAAATGACAAAGTTATAGTGAAAAATATTTTACTGCACCAAAACTTTAATCTGAAATCTGGACGCGGACGCCGGGGCGAGTAGGACAGCTCTCCATATACTTCGTATAGTCGAGCTAAAAATTGATATGAAAATTATAAAAAGCAAATACAATGATAGGACTTTAAAATAGATAAATACAGAATCCCTTAAGAAAGCCCAACACGACAAAATTGAAAATGTTGCAGGCTTGGTTTGATTGAAAGTTAAAGCTCTGTTTAAAAAAGTTAAACCTTTAAAAATTGATTGAACACTGTTTGTTGTCATAAGTTGTCAAGTGTAGCAAAATTCAGCTGACAACAACATGTTGGTATTGTAATAAGGTGTAACAATCAACTGACCAAGCTACAATACCTGTTTTAACACCTTGCGGCTTTTGTTCTTTTTTCGACTCAATGATATGCGCGCTTGACTGACCAATTGTCAGTTTAACGTGTACTGATTGTATAGAAAATAACACGTTTGGTTTCCAATTTTATTGTGTCGGAGTCGGAATATGAATTTTCCATTATATAGGATTGTAATAACGTTGAACAAAATTGGTTCCCACTAATTCACTGTCATTATTTGAATTTGTCAGTATAATGGATTTTGATGTATTGAGTCCTGACTGTACATACTCTTGTACAAATAAACCCCCAGTTTAGTAGAATCCCAAGTTAATCACCAATCATTTATGGAAGACTGGACCGTTTTGTCATATAACAAAGTGAGGAAATTTCATTTATGAACTTAAAGCTATTATGAATTATAAGTGTCCTTTTCAAAAATATTTCTATTAAAGAAATCAAATTAAGAAGTTAATCTGGAATTAACAGTGGTGATAGGCCAAAAACCACACATCAACACCAGATTAATATGAACAATATTTTAATTAAGATGTACTGGTTTCAAACCCATCAGTTTCTTTGTTTCAAATTAGCTATTTACTTTAAGCCTACATGTGGCAACTGATTCTATCCATGAGAAGATCTTTGTTGTTTTAGTGTCATTTGTTTTTTTCTGCCATTCTAATAATTTATTCACCTTTAATAAATTGCGAACACTTTTTGCAGCCTTACACTTTGATAAAATAACTCTACATACCTGACATCCTGATTTCAACATTTTTTTCTCCCAGTCTTTTAGTGAGTATTTTAAGTCGATTGTCAAACATTCGCTGTATAATGATAGTATCTGGATTAGCTTTGCCCGATACCACAGCCTAAAATCATTATAAAAATAAAATCCTTGTAAAAATTAACAAAAGTGTTAGTTTTACAATCATTAAATGGGTAAAAATAACTATTTCCTGTTTGTTTTGATTGTTTGACTTGTTTTTTATTCTGATTTTTATACACTTATTGTCATATGTTGGAATTTGGTCCATCAGGATAACTTTACTGGGTAACTAACCAGTAATTACCAATTTCTCCGCAGGTGACTGACAATTAATCCTACATGATTTCTGAATCAGTGAAGATAGGCCAAGGACCATAAAACCTGATGTCCACAATCAAGTGTCACAGAGAAACTTAGAGTTGCCTATGAATCAAACATGTGACCCTGGATTACAAACCCAATGCTCTCCCTATTGGCAAAATAACCATTAACAAATGATTAAGAAATCTATTTTTTTTCTCTAAAAAAAATTCAGAAGTTTACAAAATTCAATGGACTTAAGTGTTGCCATTAAATTAAGAAATTACAATTTAAACATTAAATACTATCACAGTAGAACTGTCTATGTAAGTAGATTAAAATCTCATCAAAGGAAAAAAAACATTTATGCAAGTCTATCTTGTAGGGACTGATTGTTTTATTTTAATAGCCTTCCTGTTCAAAGCTTCATGGCTTTCCTACAGATCAGGACACAGACACCTTCAAGACAATTGAATCAAACAGGTATATCTTGTATATACCTCAAATATCATTACTCTTCTAGTCTGTGCCTATTTTGCTTAGATTTCTTTTTGTGTGCAATAACACCTTCCTGAGACCAACAGAAACATTTGTTACTATAAATAGTAACAACATTGCCGGTAATTTTGAGTTTCATGTCACCCATTGTAAGTTTGAGGCACAACTGCTGCATATCAAACTCTCAATACCTAATATGCCTGTAAAAGATTACCTACCTCTCCGAGACCAAATGAAGCATCTAGGACCATCTTGTTAGGATTGCCTGTGACAGGATCGTTTGTAAACAATACCCCAGAAACATCTGAGGCCACCATCTCTTGTATTACAACTGCCATAGAGGTCTGCACTGGTTGACCTTGCTGTCTGGAAATGTACACAAACTTCCGATAAATAGAAAACTACATGGTTAAATTTTCACGTAAATCTGTTGAAAATCTCAAAAACCTTAAGGGCAAAGTACATGTATGATTAAGTAGTGATAAATCTTCAGTCTATATATCTCTGTGGAACAGTTAGCCCTGACTTGATCTTTGAAACTTACAATGTCAACAAAAGCTTCTTTGATCTACATGTGGTTGTATTCCTTGAAAAGATTTATGATGTTATTTAAGTTACAGAATAGTCAGAGTATTTATACACACCTTCTATATTCAACTGCCTGATAGGTGTAAGCAGATGCCCAGCATTTTCTGACCGCCTCTAACAAGCTGTCAAGCCCTTTAACACCGAGGTAAGTCTCCATCTGACCAGCTGAACTTGCTTCCCCACCATCTTCTCCTGAAAATTATATCAAACAAGTTTGTAAAATAAATTTCCAACTTGATTTCATAAAAGTCAAGTTTCAAAATTATGAGAATTCTGCAACTTTCCTATACCAACACATACATAATCATATTTACATAAAACTCTTTTCAACTTATCTTCCTTTTTATCAGTTATAAATAGATCTTATTAGTTTTATTAATCAGATTTTAGTATATTGCCTCACTAAACACCACTAGTATAATATCAGAATATGTAGCTGTAATCCCTAAATCTCCTGATTCCAGGTTTGATGTCCCTTTTGGACGAGGGGTTGCCTTTAAGGGTTGACCAGAATTGCAGCCATCGTTTAACCCTCTGTGACCGTAAGAGACAACTAAGTGGGATCGAATAACTGGAGTCTAGTCATCCCTGAGCTCAAGCAGGTGAGGTGTTTTGACCCCTGGTGTTGCTTTATGTTTGTAACACCTGAGGTTAACCAAAATCATCTTTTCTGTTTCAGCGCCATAATACCTAAACTGTGTTTGGGCACTGTAAAACCAAACAAAAATAAAATAATAAGATACGACAGGCTAACATATTAGCAATTATAGCATTACCCCTATTAACAGCTTAAAATTACTATGACAACTTATGAAACAATGTAATTACAAACCTGCAGCAGACGACCTTACAGCCAATCTAACATGATTACAAGATTCTCCAAACACAGACTTGAAGGTATTTGTAAGCTGAAATTTTATTGGTTGATTTATTTTGCAGCTGGCCAATAGCTCCACAGCATCTGAGCAGAGTCCAGGAAGACTCTGTAGCTCCTCATTTCTAAAAATAGATTTAAATGGTTGTTTCAACCATACCATTTTATATCAAAATACAAGTTGATATCATGAATGAAACCATTTTATACATTATAGTTTAAAATATGTCATCAATCAATTATAACAAGGCGGTTATTTATTGCTGAAAATAGAAATTCAATATCGCTTGAATTATAACCAGGGGGTTATTTATTGCTGAAAATAGAAATGCCCTATACCTTGATACAAGTAGATTTTACTACTATGGAATCCCAAAGTTACCTTATTTATAACTAACTTATGAAATTAACAATGACATTTCCAAATTTAAAGATTGAGGTAAGTAAATGCACAGAATCAGCAATGTTAAGTGTTTTTTTCCCCAATTTAAGATCAATATATTGTCACCTAATAGCAGAAAGTATCTTCTTTATGCTTGTTCCTAGTTCACTGTTCTCCTAAAATATACAACAATGAATAAATGTACTAAATGGGAGAATTTTAAGATATTAAATGTACAATTTAGGAAATCTTCTCATCACATTTATATCATTTTTGTTTGGATTTTAAATCACACCAACAGTGTTAAGATATCATGGAGACTTACATGCTCTCTCTGCACTTAGTTAAGAGACGAAAAAGGTATCTGAGCAGAACACATACTAAATCCCTGACCTTCTGTAAGCTAGCTGGATAGGTTCCTCACATCAAAGACCCTTAAGTGATTACAGAAGTGATAAAGATGTGTTTTATAATTACATGTAAATATTCCTCTTTGATCAACATGATTAAAGCAATTGATTTACAGCTCTGGGTAGTAAGTAAGTAAGTAAGTAAGTAAGTAACGACTTTATTTTATGAGGCTAACACATTCAGTTTCCCGATCTTCCATGCGGGCCTCAGTATATACAAAACAACATAAAATACAATCACAATCAACATTTAGACAACATAATATGTACATTAAACATCATATCAATACAATAAATAAGTAAACAATTTTTTCTTCTTACATAGAGAAGTGACATTTTCATAACTTCAGCATGGAAAGTATATGTTTTTGAAACAATATGTACAAACAATTAGTTAGAAAATTGCCACTGGATATAGGAGGATTGAAATTTCCTCAGGGTATCAGAATTTCGAATATGGATTGGTATGCTGTTCCATACCACAGGACCAGAGTAATTAAATGATTTTCTAAAAAATTCTGTTTTTGGTTTGGGTACAGTTAGTTTTTCATTTTGTATAGATCTTAAGTTAAAGTCATGTTTGTCATTTATTGTTTGGAATTTATTTTTCATATAAATAGGAAAGGATGGTTCATTTATAGATTTATACATGAGGATTGCCTTTTTGTACATAATTCTTTGATCAAAGGGCATCCAATTTAATTCTTTAAATAGAATATTTGATGGGGTATCAAAACTTTTGTCTAAAATAATTCTTGCAGCTCTTTTTTGAAAGTTCACAATTTGCGAAAGTAATTCACTACTGCAGTTTCCCCAAATAGTGCTACAGTAGTCAATATGTGGCAAAATATAAGCATTAAAAAAGAGTTTTCTGGAGTGGAGATCAAGGTACTGTTTGATTCTAAGAAGCAAATAGAGCTGTGAATTGCATTTTTTAATAATATTTTGAATTTGTGTTTTCCATTTAAGATTTTTGTCAACCTGGACTCCTAGCAGTTTTTCAGTGTCTGTAAATTCTATCTCTTTGTTTTGAAGGTGCAGAGTAGATGAAGCAGTATTTTTTGATTTAGTATTTTTTAAAGAGAAATTTATGGCCTTAGTTTTTTGTGCATTTAATATCATTGCATTTTGCCTACACCATGTGCTAACACTATCAAGATCAGTTTGAAGATTATAATTCATTTCCGTTAAAGTACTTCCAGTAGAAGTAAGGGAAGTGTCGTCTGCAAACATATCGGTAGTTGACTGTTTAACATGAAGATGGATGTCATTTATGTATATCAAAAATAGTAGGGGCCCAAGGACTGAGCCCTGAGGCACTCCTGAGACAACTTCAGCTGGTTCAGATAAAACACCAGACACATTTACTTTTTGTGACCTGTCTGATAGATAAGATCTTATCCAATCTATAGTATGTGAAGAGAAATTATAGAAAGGTAGTTTTTCTAGAAGAATTTGGTGGTTTACTAAATCAAAGGCTTTTGATAAGTCTAGAAAAACAGTTCCGACAAGTTTGCCATCATTCAGAGCACTGATCCAATTATCAATTATATTTGTAAGAGCTGTCTCACATGAATGATGTGCCCTGAAACCTGATTGAGCAGTGTAAAGTAAATGGTTTGTTTCTAAATAGAGCTTTAAGTGGTCTGATACATGTTTTTCAATTATTTTAGAGATAAGGGGAAGTACTGAAATTGGTCTGTAATTATTTTTGTCTCCCTTTGGTCCTTTTTTGTAAATTGGTGTTACCTTTGACTGTTTTAGCTGAGTTGGAAATTTTCCACTTTTTATGCTTAGATTTATAATACTACATAGAGGTTTACTTATGACATCAGCTGCTGTTTTTAGGAATTTTGCACCAATACCATCTAGGCCTGTTGCTTTTGTGGCGTCTAGACTATTGAGTTTCTGATTTACATAGCTTAAGTCAACAAAGGGTATTTCATATTTATTTGACTGATTTGAAATTTTGGATTTAACCGATTCTTGTAAAGCAGTTTTCAATTCATATGATAATCCTTCTGATACATTTTCAGCTTTTTCAAATACACTTGCAAAGAAAGTATTAAAGGTTTCTGCTGTTAATTTTGGATCAGTTATCGGTAAACCATTCTCATCATTTATGTAAGAATTTTGTTGAACATTTGTTTTGCCTGATAGGTTTTTCAAGTTTTTCCAAAGTTTTTTAGGATTTTTCTTATTTGAGTTTATTTCATAATGAAAGAAATCTTTTTTTGCTGTATGAATAAGTTTTTTCACTTTTAATTTCCAATATTTGAAGTTATCAACATTATTTTTCTTTTTTGCATAGTCCCTGTTATGTATTGCATTAGCTATATCCTCATTGAACCAATCAGCTTGGTTTTTATGCTTAACTCGTTTTTGTTTGTATGGAGCATGTATATTGAGAGTTTCCAAAAATAATTTATTAAAAGTGTCTAAAGCGTCATCTGGATCATTAAACATATCAATAAGGGACCATGGTTGTTTTGACAGATCATCTAGAAATTTATCAGCGTTGAAGTTCTTTAAGTACCTGTATTTGATTGTAAAATGAATTGGACCTTTATTAACATTTTTGATAGTTCGTTTTGTGAAAATTATTGGAAAGTGGTCACTAATAGAAAGTATAGGGACAGTAATGTATGATATATTTTGTGATTGATTACTATAGACATGATCAATAATAGTTGATGATGTTGATGTAACTCTTGTAGGTTGTGTTATAAGTTGTGACAGATTAAATGTATTAATAATATTATTCCATGCTGAGTTATTTGAACCTGTAGTTCCAAAATTATAGTTAAAATCTCCAAAAAGAATTATTTCTTTGTTTTCAACAAATATTTTTTCAAGAATTTCTTCAATGTTATCATTCCATGAAGTTAATGACGAAGGTGGCCTATAAATGTAGCCTATCAAAAAGGGTTTTTGCTTTTCAAGTTTCATTTCGAGCCATATTGATTCAGTATTTTCAGATTGTAAATCAGATCTTAGTTCACATGGCAATGAATTTTTAACAAACAAAACAAGTCCACCACCATTTGATTTTCTGTCACGTCTAAAGAGTTGATAATTGTTTAAAGATATCTCTGAGTCAGCAAAAACATCACTTAGGAAAGTTTCTTGTAGGCCTAGTATGTCAATGTCTGGATATTTGTCAACTAAATTTTTGATTTCATCTATTTTAGGATACAGGTAGTGAATGTTTAAATGAAAAAAGTTAATTCCTTTTTTGTCGAATGTTACTTCACTCAAAGTTTGAAGAGGCAAATCTGTTCTTTCATCATAATCCATAGAATTTAGATTTTCAGAAATAGGTTTAATATGTTTTGTTATCCTTTCATTTTGATTTGTAATGTTCAGTACAGTTTCATCACGGTTTTCATTTAATAAAACTGGTGTGGTCTCATCCATGTTGTCTTTGGCCAGGGATTCCATGGTCCCTGATACATTCGGAATCTTTGATGGGGATGTTGATGTCGCCGAGCATTTCCATGCCAGATGTTGGCATTCCGAAAATTTACACTTTCTCTAGAGAAATTGTTTTCTTGTTGTCCGGAATTGTTGGTATAAATCCCAAGGATTTTTCTAATGCCTGCATTAATTTGCCTTCCCAATATAGCTGAACCTTCTTTATTCAGTTGTACTTCATCATAGTAGAGATTCTGATTTACCTTATCATATTTCATGAATGCGCTTGTATTATCTAGGAAGAGGAATCCTTTGTTCTTGCAAAGCTTTTCTAGTAGATTATTTGCTTCATCAATATTTTTTCTTGATAATAAATCTCTCCTTTTTGGCAGAATGGATGATACAGCTATTTTCACATTTTGGTTTGCTGATTGTATGGAAGTAGCTAGGTCAGTAAAATCTTCACATATGGACTGAGGAGAGTTCGCATTTGAGATGTTTTTTATGCCTGTGTGTAGGACGATTATATCAGCTTCTTTTGTCTGTGTTTTATTGTGAGTTATTATCTTATTTATGTCCTGAATGGTTGCTTCACTGGTTGATTTTATGCTTACATTTACTTGTTGTGAGTTCATTTTCTTTCGTATTAGTCCCTTGGTTACGGAATCTCCCAGGATGAGTACCTCATATTTCTTTGTTGTTGGATTTGTGCTTCTTTCAGGTGAAGAAGAATTTTTTTCTGTGTCAGCTATTTTTTGGCGTGGCTTTGATGGTGATAATGACTTTGTATTTTTTGATGATGTGACAAAGTCTTTTGTGTTCTGATTCGCTTTCTGGACTGTTGTTGATATTTTATTTTGAATACCACCATCATTTACAAGTTCTTTCCTTAGATGTTGCATTTCATGCTGGAGTGAGTTAATGTCTGTTTTTGATGACACATTCTCTATTCTGTTTTTCACATGGTCAAGTGAGCTTGCAAGTTCCTCGAATTGCTCTTTTATTGATGACACATCTGTCTGGAGTGTGTTAATACAATCTTGTTGTATTTGCTTTGCAGAGGCCTTTTCACGCAATGCTTTATTTTCTTGTTTTAAGGACTGATTTGTAATTTTTAGTTTAGACATTTCTTCTTCAAGTATTAAGATCTTAGCATTTTGGCCACTATTAAATGTTTTATTTTCTGAGAGTCTGTCCTTTAAGTTGTTGATAATTGACTGAAGTTTTTCATTTTCAGATTTAAGATTGTCTTGGCTTTCGTTGTAGTTCATGTTTAAGTCCTCTTGAAGGCCACACTGTACTGAGAAATCACATTTTTCTGTATTTGAAGAAACAGATATTACAGATTTAGGACTGGTGCTGATACTTGAATGTGAGAGACTTGTTGTATCACTGGTAATTTCGTAGCTATCATCTTCACTTACACTGATGATAGATTTGACATGGGTTTCCTCGTGTAGAGATTTTACAGAAGTTTGATTGTAATTCACAGTTTGACTCTTTGTTTCAGTAGGCCTTTGATGATATTGTTTAAAGTTTGAGTTGATTGGGCTGGCACTTTTAACCGGATAATTTGCTGGTCTGGAAAGCTTCTTTTCATTTGATGTTGACTGAATTTCTTGTAGTTTTCTACTGAAATATTCCTGATCAATTTCATATCCTCCTTTCTTTAGGTAGGATTTTTTTCTTTCAAGTTTGTAAATAAAACACACTTCTAAATATGCAACTTTGCAATAATCAATAGTTTTGGGCATACTTATACAATGTTTTAAGGAAACAGTGGCAGTTTAGGAAAGTGTTATAATAGAGACCAAAGTCACAATAAGATTGACACATCCTTTTGAAAAACACTACAATAAAAAATTAAAAAAACATATTTGAATATATTTTCTTGCATGTGATTAACTTGTCCAATGTCTTAATGTAAACTACTCTACTTACTACACATGTATAAATTATTGATTATGACAACATTATGGAACTTAATTACCTGAAGTTGTTGCTCAAATGCTGCAAGAGTCAAACAAAACCCTCGAGGTATGTGGGCATCTATCTGAAAACACAGCATATCTACACTGTTATGCGGTCCATTACAAATCCAGTTTTATCACTGTTATAGATACAAAGGATTTGTAAACATTTTGTATTCAATTAAGGAGATGTATATGATGACACGATGACTCAGACATTAACAAAAAGGTATACTATTTAGAACTGGACTTGATGTAGATTAATAGAATCTATCATTGGGTTAGATAGAGGATAGGGAAATCCCAGTCCAAGGATGATTGGTTCCATCGGGAATGAGCCTTGGAGAGTTCCTGACGGAACCGATTGCCTGAGGTTTGGGATTTCCCCATCATCTATGTAACCCAATGATTGATTATTTTTCTCACTAACCTGGGCTAAAAAATATATGAAAAAAAAAAAAAATTTTTAGTGGTAACTACTTTTTTTATGCGCAATCACATTATTGGCCGTTTTACAGCCTCATTCTCGATACACAAAAATTTCAACACGAAGAGTGCATGCAACTGTGCATGAAAATTATTAAATACACCATTCAGATGGATTTAATTTGTGATAAATTAATCACAAAACAATAAAATGATTGCTAAAATATGAAAATAAAAGTATGAGTCATGGATTGTTAGTTTGTTTTTTTGGGTTTTACGTCACATCGACACAGTATAGGTCATATCGCGACATTCAAGCTTTACTGGTGGAGGAAGACCTCAGGTGCCCTTCTGTGCATTATTTCAGGCACGAACGGGCACCTGAGTAGAACCACCAACATTCCGTAAGCTAGCTGGATAGCTTCCTCACATGAAAGAATCCAAAGTCCCTGTCGGGATTCGAACCCACAGCGGTGAGGGGCAAGTGGTTTGAAATCAACAACCTTAACCACTCGGCCACAGGAGTCATGGATTTGTTCCATGTTAGTGAGAAAGCTAAAGAAACAATACTATACAAATTAAGTTCATTTTATTTGGCCTAAAGGTCTCTTTGGATATATGGTTGAGGTCAAACTCTTATATTTGCCCTTCCCTGCTGCAGGTTCGAACCCCTAGAGACATTGATTTTTTTCTGTCAAGTGAACTTATCAGACCTAGGTGTTTGTCATGTTCAAAATAATGTATAATGAAGCATTGTCAGATTTTTTTTAGGCCCACTTACATACACATATAAACCTTAAAAATTAAACTGAATGTACACATGTATATTGTTTAAAACAAAGTCCAATTGTTCACAAATATGCATGACAGAAACAGGAAATCCATCAAACTGCATAGCTAAAGGATGTAACTAGGATGTAATTCCTTCTATCAAGTTAGTGTTATAAACCTACCTGTTTATGTATTGATGTGAGGAAGGCTAATTGAGAACCTTTCCCACCAGTGAGAAGACTACTCTTACAGTATTCATCCTGGAAGGTTAGAGTTAGCTGCCCCTGTTTATCTTTATTTACATCAGGTTCAGTGAGTAATGGAATTTGCACAGGAACTTTAGTTATCATAGATGGACCTTCGTAATTCCTGAAAATTTTAGCATAATACAATTGCATTTGTACTAAAATTTCAACAACAATTATCTTTTTTTTAAAGGAACTTTTTGAAAAATATAAGTCAAACTTAATTTCTATTTATAGTAACAAAATCATAATAAATTTCTATTAATAGTAACATAAACATATCATCTTTTTAAGCATGCGAGCAAAAAAATGCCAGCATCTATTTATCTATGATGATCAAGATGAAAAGTAGAATCAAAACTGATAAAAAGATAATTTTGTACACACTAAACCTGCAGCAACTTATTATTTTCATCATTTTTTTTAGCTTGTAAAATACTTTTTGTTACCTGTAATGGTATTCTGTAAGTCCCCTAGCTTTACGACCATTTACAGTATATGTGCAGAACCTCTCTAATATCCTACTGGTTCTATTTCTGTAATGATAAACTTCTGGGGTAACTATGGAAACCAGATCCACTTTGTATTCTTCATACGCTGAAAATAAGAAGTACATTCTTAATGTTAATTTACTTCTTGTAACCACATCAACTTTTCATATGTATATTTCATATGCTAAAAGAAATAAATACAATCTCATTCATTCATTATACTTTAAAGTCAGTATCTTTTATCTTCAATTGAGTTAAGATGTCTTCCTCTAAATCCAGGAACCATTCAGTCCAAGCCATACTTGAGTCACAGAACAAGAGGGCCATGATGGCCCTGAGGTCGCTCACCTGTATATAGGCCCCCCGGAGCGGGGCAAGTTTAAACCCCAGGGCTTTTATTTGAACAAACTAGGAAGACACCCATAAGAAGATGTTTCATGATGTTAAGTTTTTACTACACACATATAATGAAAAGCAATGATCTGCCCCCTCCCCCATCCCCTCCCCACAGGGGCCAATTTTAACCCAAGGGCTTTTATTTGAACAAACTTGGTAGACACCTATAAGAAGATGTTTCATGCTTAACATTTAAGCTCTAGCACATTGGGTTTTTTAAAAGAAGATTTTTTAAGTTTTTGCTATACACATATAAGCAAAATCAATGACCCCCGGGGCGGGGCCAATTTTGACCCCAGGGCTTTTATTTTAACAAACTTGGTAGACACCCATTAGAACATGTTTCATGCTAAATTTCTTAGCTCTAGCTCGTTGAGTTCTTTAAAAGAAGATTTTTTAAGTTTTTACTATAATTATGCATATAGGGTAAGTCAATGACCCCCAGTGGCGGGGCCAATTTTGACCCAAGGGCTTTTATTTGAACAAACATGGTAGACACTCATTAGAACATGTTTCATGCTTAATATCTTAGCTCTAGCTCTTAGGGTTCTTTAAAAGAAGATTTTTTAAGTTTTTACTATATGCATATAGGGAAAATCAATGACCCCCTAAGGCGGGGCCAATTTTGACCCCAGGCCTTTTATTTGAACAAACTTGGTAGACATTCACTAGGAGATGTTTCATGCCAAAAATCTAAGCTCTAGCTCTTTGGGTTTTTTAATAGAAGATATTTAAAGTTTTTTCTTTTGGTTGCCATGGCAACCAGAGTTCTGCATGGAATTAAATTCTTTGAACAATGTTTAAAGGTGACCACCAAAGGAACATTCCTGTGAAGTTTGGATGAAATTGGCTCAGTGGTTAATGAGGAGATGTCACTTAAAGTAAAAGTTTACGGACGACGGACGGACGACGGAGGAAAAGCGATCAGAAAAGCTCACCCTGTCACTTTGTGACAGGTGAGCTAAAAAAAATATATAACTCTCCTACTGTGGCAATTAAAGCTATTTCAAGTTAACATCAATGTAAAATAAATATGTCCAAAACTCTTTTCTTTTCCTCACAATTATTTTCCATGTTATTTTTGGGCTGGGCTTTAAGTCACACAGACTTATATCTCCAGCTTTAGTGATGCTAAAGAAATCTCAGATGTATCTTCATAACATCTTTATCAGCACTGTGCGCTATTTCAGTCAGTAAATATATTTGTATTTTGAACTTTACTCTAACAATGATTGTTTTGTCAAGAATAAAAAAGGACAAGTCAATTTAAGATATAAAGCATGGTTACGTTTAATAAAACAATATATACCTGCTTTAAAAGTAAACGAGTATTTTTCAGGAGGTATTTTGTCTTTGGTAATATCTTCAATATCAAGGTCTATATCTGTAACTGGGTAAGTTTCGCCACATGCAAAAGCTAGGTAACCTGTCTTCAATCTGAAATCATCAATTGTTACATTTGTTTTGCACACATTTTTTTAACAATTAATCTGCTGAATTTCTTAAATGATCTATTCCAGCCTTTGTTTCTGGAAATGTCCACTACTGATTTTGGAGAAATCAAAGTGAAATTTTGAAGCTGATAATATCCAGACTGATCCAACAAAATTTCACAGCATGTGTTCTAATTTCTAGCATAAAAAAATGATTTTTGTGGAAGGAACTATGAAAAACATAAGCTTTAGAACTAAAAAGCTTGTGTGAATTTTTAAACAGATTGTTACTCTACAATGAATGTCAGGCTACAATGTCAGGTTCATTTTTGATATTGAGAATTCTTTACATTTATAATGAATGAATAAAAACATCAAAGCAGGGAACATCTTAGTGTATGAAATAAAGTGAGAAAAGTTATCATAAATGAAGGTATAATCTTACAGTGAGATGTAATCTGGCATCCATAATACAGCTACCATTGCCATTACCCCAATCTTCAAACAAGATTATAAAACATTGTAACCGATGAAAAGAAATTTGAATACATCGCTTGATTTGTTCATCCTCGGTAACCCAGGCTATTTACCGTAAACATGTTTGGGTAAATAGTATATACGGAAAGGGTTCCAACGATGAATTTGTCATGATTTATTAAGTTATCATTATTTCTAAAGGTCATGATCGCGCTCTTGATTTCCTGTCTCTTCTTCACATTTTCTGTGTCAGGTACTACATGTAAATTGCCAGGTTTTCTATATATAGATGCGGACACACTATAACTGCACTTTTTCTGATATTTTTTGTTCAGGCTCTTAAATGCCATATTTGTTCGTTAATTTATGCCGGCTTTGACAAAAAATACTAGTACGCTTTCCAGCTGATAAAAATAAAAAATCCCACATGAATAAAATTTCTTTTGATTTCATAACCTACCTAAATACAACACTTTCATATCAATATGGAAACTGACATTTAGTTAACAACAAGAGCGATTAGTGATCACATGTGTCGCCTCATGATGGCCAATTTCATGTTGGGACAAGTTTTGTGACAGACGGACAGACAGACGGACAGTGCACAACTAAACTTGGTACTGATCATTCCTGTAAAGTTCGGATAAAATTGCACCATTAGTTTATGAGGAGTAGTCCGGACAAGCTTTTGTGTATCTGGCAACACACAGAAAAAAACACCTTTTTATCAAAGGGCCATAACTCAGCCAAAAATCATTCAACCGGAAAACCCGTGCAATATGCGCAAGGACTTGAGCTACAGATCAATCCTGTAAAGTTTCATTGAAATTGCATTAGTGGTATAAGGGAAGTAGTCCGGACAAACTTTAAAAATAAAAATTATTAAAGGGCCATAACTCTAACAAAAATCATTGAACCGGAAAATGCTACAATATGCACGACTAGACTTGGTACTGATCATTCCTGTAAAGTTTGGATGAAATTGCACCAGTAGTTTATGAGGAGTAGTCCGGACAAGCTTTTGTGTATCTGGCAACACACAGAAAAAAACACCTTTCTATCAAAGGGCCATAACTCGGCCAAAAATCATTCAACCGGAAAACCCGTGCAATATGTGCAAGGACTTAAGCTACAGATCAATCCTGTAACGTTTCATTGAAATTGCATTAGTGGTATAAGAGAAGTAGTCCAGACAAACTTTAAAAATAAAAATTATTAAAGGGCCATAACTCTTACAAAAATCATTGAACTGGAAAATGCTGACAATATGCACAACTAGACTTGGTACTGATCATTCCTGTAAAGTTTGGATGAAATTGCACCAGTAGTTTTTGAGGAGTAGTCCGGACAAGTTTTGTGACGGACGGAGGGACAGACAGACAGACGGACGACAGAGAAGTGATCCCTAAATGTCGCCACTACTCCGTAGAGGCGACACATTTATGGAAAACATACTAATTATTCACTCACCTCCTCAATCCAGATAAAATGTATGGCATATCTGTAAAAGAGTTCCCAATTGCGGACACCAAATGTATGGTCCCGAAAGCTCTTTAGATTCACGTTTCTGACATCGTGACCGTCAATCTCAATCTGTCCGGTTAACTCGCCACATTGTTCATAGTGAGTCTGATGCTTCCTGGTGACAATCAAAAATCAAAATCACCAAAAATTAATTCTGAGGAAATTATTTACCTATTTGTTTTGTCAGGCTTTAAGTCACACCAACAGTATCAAATTATTCATATGGCAAATTTCAAGCTGCATGCCTCTCAATAAGCCAAAATATTTCAAGATTTTATTTTGCGTTACTTATGCATTAAGGGCTATTTTTGAATATTTTGACCTCTTTTTGTAATTAACAATTGTTGTAAGTACTGTTTGCAATGTGTAAATTATTTTCTTGGTTCACTTAACAATAGTTAACTTTTTAATATATTTTAAAAATTTTCATGAAAATTAGCATGAATCTGGAGGGTTGCTGCTTAGAGGATGAAGATCTTGGGGTACCTCTCCAAACATTATTTCAGGCATGAGCGGGTAACTGAGAAGAACCACAAACATTCCCTAAACTACCCATAAAGAATCCTAGGTCACTCGTGTGATTAGAAACACTGGTGGTGAGTGGCAAGTTAATAACCATAACCACTTTCAGTTTGGCCACAGATTCCCATCAGACCAGACTATTCAAGGAAATACATCACCACTGCGAAACAATTGATGATTTACCTAACTTTGTAAGATGCTTGTTCTCTTAATTCGGTGTACACTTTTAAGGTTAATATTTGGTTTTGGCAATACTGTTAAGTTCTTTATTTTTAATATTTTTAATGACTTTCAAACTTCACCAAAGAAGATAAACCTTATTTTGATTATGATGTCAGGACTGCTTGTTAGGTGGGGTGGGCCTATCTGCCAACATATGACCAAAAATGTGTTTAGATTGGCAGAAAAACACACACACAAAAAAAAAACAAAAAAAAACTTTGAGGCAAAGTATAATTGTAACATATTTCCTACAATTTACCCTCTCAATTTGGCCCAGAAATCTTTTGTCCATTTCTCTCTTGCTATTGCATCTGCTAGAAGATTTTTGTCCAAGTCTATATCAAAGTTGAAAGGATCATTAAAACATTCCCACCTGAAAATAAAATAAATGTTATATCTTGAGTGAATTCTTATTACAGATTTAAATATCATGATTAAATATTCATTGTCATGCTTATTACAAATACTGTTAGTTAGTAGATAAAAGACAAACAACTTACTGTTCTCAATTTTCTTTTTCATATACCCATCATTCAAGAATTAATACTGCAATGTTTGTCAAAATAATAACACTTGTGTACTAAAGATATCATAACTTTTAAAGATAAGTTGGATACAAAAAAAAAATTCATTTTACACAAATTTGAAAAAAAATTTAAAAGAAAAAAACATATTCATAAAAAAACTTCATACTTAAATGTCATTTTCACAGTAACATATTGTCCTGGTTTGTGATGCACATCATTACATAGTCCTTTCCTGTAAACAGAAAAAGAATACATAATCTGATAAATGAGAAATTCTTTAATTCATCATAATGTAAAAACATATGACAGCATATCTTAAACAAACAGAGAAGATACATGTATTTAGAATCTTGTTTGTACATATGTACGTATGTATGTATGTATTCTAGGCTTAATGAGGGTCCATCCGCCCTTTCAGGCACTGAGAGTATGGACCCCTTTAAAATCTTGTTTATTGAAACATTGTGGCTTCAGCTTCAGTTTGTAAACTACATGTATAACCAAAGCTACCATAATACCACCATGTTCATATCCACAGCTGCTGTTTTGTCATGTCTGACCCAAACTATGCACAAATGCATTTTCATTTTAAAATTACCACGAATCTTGTCACGTCTGGGTCTCATTATATTACCATGTTCATATACACACAAGTTTTGATAGGTTTACTTATCATTGGTTAAAATTTTACAAATGGTAATGGTATCTATCAAGAACAATTTGAAAAACAAAAAACGTCGCCCAACACTGCGATACTGATAATTTTGCAATTTCAGTTGGAGTCTGTTCATGGACTGGGGTTTTTGATACATGCTTCTGTCAACCTCCCCTAGCACAGGCATAAGTTGAATTCAACGATATATCACTCTTGTCATGGTATTAGATGTTCTGACAATCAATAATAGTAATGATAACTGAACAACTTTGACTTAGAATAAATCCTATAAATCTTACCTTAAAAGTCCATTATATGTAACTTTCCAGCTTCTCAGTGGTTCAATAACCTGACATTTTACACCAAGACCAGTAAAACCACAATTTGGCATATTAGAAATACCAGCATCTGGCATAATAGGGTGCTGAAAAAATCCAACACCTGGAATATCTAACATCAACCATAGTTCCCCCTCACGATTCTGTTTTCTGGCAAGACGTAATGCAAGGGATGTCCCATTTTCATCAAAACCGTTGAAATAGACTGTGTCAATTGCCTAAAATAAACAAGAATGAAAAATGATGGGCACCTTTATCTCTTTCACTGCTAACAAGATATCTATATTGATTAATTTATTGTTTAAAATTTTATTTGATTTATTTGAATTCTATTGAAGTACAAATGTACTTCTATCAATTTTTGTGATAAAGGTGTTGCAAAAATCATTTTATCTCAATGATATTAATTATCTTCTACACATGTTCAGGTCTAATATATTTTTAAGAGAAAAATAAGCATCTGTCTACAATAGCAAATTCATGAACAAGACTGCATGTACTACATTACAATCGAGCACGATAAGAAAATTGGATAACTAACATCTGGGTGGCTCTCCAGGGGTTGACAGAAGTCTAGTGACGATATATCTGTTATAGTTCTACCATAACCTCTATTCTTTCGTTCACTTGTATTTCCATCACTGATCTTTGTCTTCTTATGAGAGTTTATCACCAATAGAATTCTGAATATCCATTTTTTGGTGTAATAAAACCTTCCTGTAGAAAAAATATATCTTTGTTAATTTTTATATCACTTTGCCTAAAAGCATTTTAGGTCAATGCTAAATGTCTTAGGAGGCAGCTGAGTAAGAAGGAATACATGTAAGTTTTAAATTTGACATGTTGCAATATATGTGGGGTTTGTCAAAACAACATATCTTGATTTAAAAATAATGAAAGTATTCAAACTTGCCATTCGTAATTCCATTTCAATCACATGTTATTTTCATACGACAATATTCCAGCTATAACTGCATCAAGGCAGCACCTAAATGCTCTTCTAAGCATTAATTAAGGCCCAAGAGAGGTATTTTTATTCAGTAAAACCACTAAATTATCTTTCATAAGCTACATGTAGCTACATGCATGTATAAAATTACATGTATAATGATTATGATATGCTGACAGCATGGTGCAATATTCACTTGATATAAAAATGATTTTAACACAGGAATGAATTATCACTTGTTTGGCCACAATGACCTCATTTTGCTTCCACTGAATTAATGTTAATAATTTAATTTAATAATTGTCCTTGCCTGGTTTAAACCGGTTTGAAGATTTGGGTCTGAGTAACTCTAACAGGAAGAAAAGTAATATAACACCAATGACAACAGTCCAGAACATTATGTTACATGTTGTGCCAATCACGTTGACATCTCTTTAGTTATCTGAAAAAATTAGCATAAATAATCTTTTACTACACTTAGTATCTAAAATCATTGTTTGTTTTTCTCCATTCTATAGCTGTAGCCAAATACAGACTATGTGAAATACACACTACATCCCTCAAATTCTTTTTTTTCATCATGCAATTTTCTGCCAATATAAAACTAATACTATAGATTTTATTCTCCTATTCAGTTTCTTGTCGTAAAACTTGTCCCATTTAACACATGAACTCACATGTTTATTCCCCTGTAGCATTTAAAGGCTAGGGCCTGAGTGACGAACATCCCTCAAGCCTAGAAACAAAACCTTAAAATGGACTTGTTCATTTTTAATCTGGACACAACTATTAATCATTTTAAAGCAAAATTATTTCAAAATAAGCCCTGTCTCAAATAGTGAACATAGTGCCATAATGTTTCACTCCCAAGTGGCATGGGTATAACTGACTCATATTGTGACAACAGGAAACATGTTTTCATTTTTGCCTATGATACAAAAGAGAAAGAACATTAAAACACTCGGCAATCTGATTTATACTCAAGGTATACTCAAGGGCTATGCCCCCTTGTACAAATCAGATATCCTTGTATTTCGATACTCTTCCTAATTATACATGTAGTTGCTGCCAGCAGGTTACAGGTTACCTTATAAAGCACTTGCCTCAAAATTTACAAAATTCAAATCCATGATATTTGTCCCCTTGGACACTTGCCTCTCAGTCTAAAACTGCATCATTTGACAATTTGCCCCTCCCCCCACCCCCACCAGTGTAAATGAATATGTAGACATCTGTCTCCCAGTTTGGAAATTCTCTTAATTCATGTCAAATGCTGCCTTAAGCTAATGTTTCAATAAAAATGCAACAATAAATGCATTATTATTAACATAAATGCATCATAATTTAAACTTAAGCTTATCAGAAAAGAGTTCCTTTGAGATACATTTAGCAAAGGTTCAAACAGGGGGTAAATGTCCACCTTAACATTTCCACTGATGGGGTGGAAATGTCAAGAGATTCATTTTTAGAGTGTGTGGGGGGGGGGGCAAATGTCCTTAGGGGATAGATGTCTGTATTATAACCAGAAATTCAAGTTTTTAGGATGATTAGAAGGGGTTATAAATCTTTTAAGCCATTGCAAAAATAAGTTCATTTTCACCAGCAATCATCTCATTTTATGTAGATATTTATATTCATAAAATGTTGTGTTTTGTATTTATTTAAAACTTTTACAAATTTCCACACTTTTTATCTACACGAAATCCCAACAGGTGGCCTACAGTCATGAACATTGGTTTAATAAGACCTAATCCGCATTCATTTTACACTATGATTCTATTTATAGCGCAAACACTTAAGAATGTCATGCTTGTTAAGTTTAATGAAAACATTTCCAGTAATAAATGCATAAATTTACTCATGAACAGAAGCATTAATATCTGTTATCAATTTTTGTTTTTTCATAATATTTATTTTGATCAGGGGCTGAGCATTGGTCTGACTACTTTACTTGTTAGAGACCACCAATTCAGACAGCCACTAAACCGATACAGCCTGAAAACACTTGAATTAATTGTTTTCTTTGCTCAGGGGTTGTCAATTAAATTATTTGCTCTTTAATCAACAATAAATGCATGTTTCTTATAAAAGTAACAATTAAAACTTTTTTTAAATATTAATAGCTTTACATGTATGTTTATTACAAATTATGAAATATGTAAACGTTGAAAATTCTGACAACAAGAGTGCAATACCTGACCTCTTGTCACTAGCTATAATCATTTGCAGATGTCAACAAAAGAATACTCAATATTTCAGTATTTGCCTCTGGAATATTGTATAATGTTAACAAAAAAACAAGATCCACTGCCTAGCGGTGGCACTAGCTCAACTGCCTAATTCTTATATCTATTCTAAAGTTTTTGGTAACAAATGAATTTTAAATTTCATATTTAACCTTGATGGTCAAGGTCAATTAAAGGTCAAGGTCATTTCAAAATAATTCAATGTCTGTTTTGTCATGTGTTATTTTGTCCATCTATGAATCAAAGTTATGACAAATTAAGCAAATTTCAATAATTTGACCTTAATGGTCATGGTCAAATAAAGGTCAAAGTCGATCATACCAAAATAATTCAACATGTCTGTTTGTCATATGTGTTCTCTTGTCCAAGTGTGAATATTAATAAATACTAAATTTCTGACAATTCAGGCAAATTTCAATTATTTGACCTTGACAGTCAAGGTACAAAGGTCAAGGTCATATCAGAATAAAATTCCACATATAGGTTTTGTCATAAGTATTCTGTTGTCCAAGTATAAATCAAGTCCATAAATATTAAACAAATAACAAACTTGTCACCAATAACAATTTAATAATTAATTACAATAATTTGACCTTCAGTGTCAAGGTCAATGATGAGTGAAGGTCATAATGAATTTAGCTTACATGAAGGTCATGTCCAAAAGATTTTAGATCTAGTGTCCTGGTATGGAGACAATTCATTCATAAAAACACCATGGCAAAATTCAAATACAAAAACTGCATAATATCTTGCCCAGGAGTAAAAACAAAACACAAAGCAAATTTTAACGGTTTAGTTTAGCCTTAGGGCAAAGTGGGCGGAACAATTCAAAGGCCGAGCTGCTAAATGGAAATGACGGTGAATTTCAAAAATGACATACATTGTCTTTAATAAAACGAAAAAATACCAATACAGTAAGCAAATTCAAACTCATACTCCTAATGGTTTTTTTCGGATTTAGCTCAATACAGGATTGGAGCAATACCTCTAGACGCTTGCAGAAATCATGATCACAAAATAGACAAATATCGTTTTTTTCGCCGAATTTTACCTTTTTCCTTGATTATCGTACTTGATTCGGTGTAAAAAGATGAATTAGACCTGTTAAAGTTCATTCCGTTGGGTAAAAAGACAAGATTTTAGCATTTTATCATTCAAGCGCCTTGTCCGGTATATACCGGAATACGGTATTTAGTGTGGTGCTCCAATCCTTTTTTTAGTCACAGCCGTTTTTTTTCTACCCTGTGAACCTTGAACCGGATGATGTCACGGGTAGTATGGTACTAAATAAAAAATAAAAAAGCGTCCAGGCTTTCAGAAGACGCGCAAAGACATCAAAAGACACGCAAAGACACACATTTAGGCAAATTTTATTTGATGTTTTTTAAACACATTGATAACCCTGCCACTTGAGTGATTTATTGGTTTCAACAATCTACATCTACAGGTTACTGCCTAACAATCAATTCTGATTATGACTAGCAGGCGCGTTGTCAGGGAACTGTTATTAAAAGACATTATTTATATACATTGTATATGCAAATTTAAAAAGATAAAAGAATAAAAGTTCTATAAGATATTAGTTAAATGACTTTTTGTGCAATTTAGAATTTGTAGAATTGGTCAAGCCTCTCTGTAAAGATGTAAAGACTGGAGTAGAATAGACAATGGCTATATCTTTGAAATAACCCAGTCACAACTGCAATGCATCGAAACAAAATACAGTGCTTATAAAGTCAGAAACAATTCCATTTTTTTCGAATGCGCGGCGCCAAACAATTTATGCTAAATAACAAACAGTAACCTATTTTAGATACCGACCAAATGCATTTTCTTCCTCAGAAATATAAGAGACACCACCATACGTTGTGTGCTTTCCTTGTATTTTTATTCCTTATGATACTGCATGATGCTAAAATACCTTTACAATTGGAAACATTGATTACCATTGGTACACCTGGCTGACAATTTACTCTGAATGGATATTATTATATCAGTTATGTCACTGACAAGATAGCTATTGGATCCAATTATAGATTATGAAAAAGTTCAGTATCCCCACGTTCCCTAGCACCAGTTGAGTGGAAATCAATTTTCAACACTTAATACGTTGGTACATGTATAATAGAATCTATCATTTGGTTAGGTAGAGGATAGGGAAATCCCAACCTGAGGGTGATCGGTTCAATCGGGAACAAGCCATGGCGATTTCATTTATACATTATCCAAATATGTGCTCTACAAAACTGAATATCTTTATATATTGGCAAACATATGTGTATATCTGATATATTTTAGTTTTTTTACCAACAGATACGTTACCAACAGATACAGATACTGAAAATGTGAACCAGACATTTGAAATTCAAGGATAAGTTGATTTTCTAAAGAATTAAATGTAGAAAAACAGGAAAGAAACATATAAAAATTAACTGTTTTATGTACTGGATTAAATTTTACTAATTCTTCAACAATATAAACCAATCCAGTAGATAAATTATCTACTGTAGAGCATAATCTGAAGAATCCTTAAATATAAGCTAATTCATTCAAGGTGGAATATTTTTATGGACTGCATCTCGAATTAAAATTAGAAATATCGTTTGGTACTTTGTCAGTAACTTGTGAATTTACTGGATTTATGAACAACAAAACGTATCGTTGCTATTACAGTTTTATCCCTGTAGATGGCCTATTTCACTCGCAACAAGTTAATTCTTTTCGCTTTTTATCACGAATACCGTAAAGAACGGGTCAATACAGAATATACCACGGAAATGCGAACTTTTCACCAATGAAAGTAAAATGCGCCTTGTGACGATTTCCCGCGAAAGGAAACGTAGAAGTAGTTGTTATTAATCAACTTTTTTAACTTCCAAATAGTGCCTTTTATTAACTTTGGATATTTATAGTAAGTTGTTTTTGTAAAATACTATTGATGTTATTATAGATCTTTCTAAATATTAAGGTCCATTGTTGAAAGCCTGTGTATACTGGATCCAGAAAAAAATATTTTTTGTAAAATCACTGAATATTACCTGATTACTGACAATATCTTCTTTTGTCATTTGATTATGATTTCTTTACCTAAATCTAGTAGGACTGGACTTTAACACAGTGCCAGTTAAATTTTGTAAATGTTTTTATTGAAATAGCGAGTTTTTTTTTTTTGAAGAAATAATCATCCCCCCATACAAAATTGTATTCACATCAATCAAATTGACATTTTTTTGTAATCATATTGTATATCATACAGTATAGCATGCAGGGCTCAAGCTGTCGGTCGCCATAGTCGCCATTTGCGATTATTTTATAAGATTGGCGATTATTTTTGCATTTTGGCTACAAAATCTGGCGATTATTTTTTACTTCCAACAGTATTTATATATCCTGTTTTCTCGTATTCTCGGGGGGTTAAGGACTAAACTTGGTTGCATAATATTTATAAAACATTCTGTTACAGTATTTTTAGCCTGATACACAGAGAAATACCTTATTTACAAGATACAAAGAAAGAAAGATCGTAACTGTAAGCAAAACTAAAGATATTTCTGCTTGTATATACTGACCTTCACCCTCTATGTGAAGCAGGTGCTTTCTCGTATTCTCGTGGAATTTGATTGGTTGTTAAGGCTGGTCGCTATGTGATGATTTTATTCTACATACCAGTTCAAATCATTAGTGCCACACCTAATTAAGTGTTAAATGGCCTAAATCTGTAATTTTATTGTGTTTTAATAACAGCTTGGCAGGCCATATCAAACTTTTAGGATTATATTGACGCCTCTTTGGTACCAAATGATTTTAATTGTTCCAAAAATAGTTTGAACTCCATTTAGTGTTGTTATTCACATAATCTCTCTAATATATATTTAGTTTACGCAGGGTGTCCGTTTGACTCTTGAAATGACTCTTTGACCCTTCAAATTTCCAAAAAGCCTGATTTGACCCTCAGGATTTTAACTGGAGGGTCAAATTTTGTTAAAATCATGGGGATTGGGCCTTGAAGTCAGTAAAACTTAGTCAAAATGACCCTCAGGATTTCATGGCTAGTGAACACCCTGGTTTACGTTTATTTATAAGCCACTTATTAGTTATATGAGCATTAAACAATGAATACTACTGTTTTCCATTGCAGTTGTCAAAAATGAAATGTGTTTAGGACAAAAAATGTTTCATTATTGGTTTTTAATTGGAGTTCATATCTTTTTATGCCCCCACAATGTGGGAGCATATAGCGTTGCACTTGTCCGTCCGTCCGTCAGTCAGTCCGTCCGTCCGTCAATCCGTCAGTCCGTCCGTACGTCCCGAAATCTTGTGAACGCAACTTCTCTTAAACCGGATGGCAGATTTTGCTTAAACTTCTAGGGATTAACAACATTAATGTGTAGATGGTAGTAAAGGAAGGAATTTTTGCTGCGACCAAATTTAACAGAATTATGGCCCTTTGTTGATTTTTTCATTATATAATTATATACTATGTAGAAATTTTGTGAACGCAACTCCTCTTAAACCGGATGGCAGATTTTGCTTAAACTTCTAGGGATTAACTACGTTAATGTGTAGATGGTAGTAAAGGAAGGAATTTTTGCTGCAACCAAATTTAACAGAATAATGGCCCTTTGTTGATTTTTAGTTTTTAACTTGCGGCACATGTAGTCCAAAAAATATTTTACCTAGAGTCATAAGATTGACAGAACAGTGGCGTGTGGGGGCATCCGTGTCCTATGGACACATTTCTAGTTTATACTATCTATTCGTGGAACAAATATTTTGAGCTGTATTGTTTTAATAGTAGTGTGAGACCGTCATTTGAAGCCTCTTGCGTCAGAGACCCGCTACAGGTTTCTGCAACGTGGTAAAAACCAGAAAACGATGATTTTTGGGGGGAAATTGAGAAATTTTATGTTTATTCTCTGGATTTTACGATTATATCCACAGTTTTTTTTGTTTTTTATCTGTTTTTTGCCGCATTTCTTTTATTTTTTTAATGGAGATGAAAATGCTCTGCTAAATAGACATGTTTTCGGATATCGACGGAAGTTGCGAGCGTCGCTTCCATCCGTTTTAATGATTCCACGAGAATACGAGAAACCCCGAGAATACGAGAAATAGGGATAAGGTGTAAAAATCGATAAAGAATGCAGTAGACCCAATAAACACCAGCGGGTGGATTTAATTGAGTGTCAACTTTTTATCGGTCACGTGCTGCTTACCATATTGCCCGAGGTGATAAAAATACATGCGAGATGTAAAATTGTATAAGTACTTTAAAGATATTGTCCAGCATTATAATAGCCATTAAGTATCTGTCAATTAGCCAAAAAGATCGTCTTAAAATTGATAAACTGGATATTGACCAACCCAAAATTTACGGGAAATTTACCGTAAATTGCAGTAGATCTCTAATGACAAATTTTGATTTTTTTTTTGTTTTAAGCTACTTGACTAAATCGCCAGTGGAAAACAATGATAAAATATTTAAAAAGTATTAACTTCCCAACAACTATTTGCACAACAACCAAAATTGTGAGTATTTCTTCAGAAAACAGGAAAAAATCCGATTGTCACATGTTTTCGCGACACCGATAATTTTGATATTTATTTAAAGGTGAAAATAAGCTATGTTCTGTTTAAAAATCTTTACTATTATGGCAGAAAATTTGTATTACATTGGTGATGACATTTTTCAGTAGGTTATTCATAAAAAAGGCTGCATTCTGTGAATGAGTTTGCAAGTGTTATTTTTATAGGCTAATATGACCTAGGTCTACTCCAGTTCTGTGTGAAATGTGGAAATTGACAGGGGTTATAGCTGACAAAATTTGATTAGAACAAACATAAGAAATTGTCTGATAATAGCATTATGTAAATTCATAATGAATCTTGAATATTATTGATATACAGTAATTATACTATATAACATTTTTATTCTGTTCTATAATAACAATTT